TAAGGTTTTTCATAGCTGGTATTGAATGCAAAATTCATTGACATGACGTACACGTAAATCAGATGATGAAATATAAAAACAAAGTAAAAGACACGTATCAAATGAAATTGCTCCGAATATCACTCCCATCATGAAAGTGACGACCCATCCTTGAAACAGTGATGTCAAATGATATCATTTGGCTTTTTTTTTTCATAAGCAAAAAACCTTCTGTTTCAAGTCGTGAGTTTTCTTTTCCTTCATCTGTATTCTTTTTTGTATTCCTAATTTTTCCAGCTAGAGTAAAAAATGATCAGAACCCTGATACCATTTTGTTCAAAATATTAATGCAAAGAAATGAATTTGAGTAGTTAATATATTAGTATTGAAAAATTCCTGCAATAATTATGCACATAAATGAAATTCATGTTATTTGCGAACTTTAGCTCTACAAAATATGTAGCACTGAAATTTTTGCGCTTGCGCTAGCATTTTCAACTCGATGAATCAAAGATGGAAATTGAGATGTTATTTCTAGGCAAATTTCTCGCTGCAAGTTTACGACGATTCAAATTTTTCTCTAGTTTGCATTTAGTGTTAAGCTTACAACTCTACTTACAACAGTTAAACTAATTATTGAGGATCTTTTGATTCTGTTTCCGCTTTTCATTTAGTAGATGACTCACTTGATTATTTACAAATTTTTAATAGATCCCTTGAGGGTGAGCATTTACTTCCCGTGATCAGTTTGCAGTTTGCAAAGTAATATTTTTTTAATAGTTTGTCATTTAGATGTATGATAATAATGGTACAAAAAAAAGAGTAAAATAAACAATATCTTTCCTATTCATATCTTACTTTCAAATACATAATTCTATACAGTAGCAGCCATCTGCTACAGTTTAGCTATGGTCAAATTAATTTTGCTTTAGCTTTTAATTTATTGCACTCATTATAAAGTGTTTACAACTTGTGCTATACATTTTAGACGAAAACCGTCAGTATGTACACGTTTTTATGTATTTTATTTCATTAAGATAAGAGGATAGTAGTGATCTCTATCATCACCTCATTATCTGAAAGTGTCATCACTAATTAGTACTGCAACTTAAAAGCAAATGCTGCATATGAAATCATTATTTCGTGAAAAAAGCGTGATTTTCTCGCATTAATGATGTTAAATTATATAAGTGAACTATTTCAGTTAATCAAATATTATTTTGGAATAAAATATGCTTGCCAATGTTTGTTGTTACGTTTCACTGCCTTCATAATCACTAATGCAACAATGCTAGCGGTTCAGTTTTAAATACTGCAGTAGTCCGATTTTTTCTGCATTGATGATTACTTCTGGTATCGATGCTATCACTCTTGCTAAACTTATTCAAAAGGTTGAGCCTACAAAAAAGGTATCTATTTTGCATTAACTAATTCATTTAAAAATAAAAAAATTAAATATTATTTTGTACCAGTAATTAATACAATATTTGTATTTTATAGCATTTTTTTTACTCTCTGTTTCGTAGTAGAAATTTTTAGAAGCGTTGTTATTTTAAAGCAATTCGTACCTGCTATAAAATTAAAACTGTTTTTAGTTGATGTATATATGGAAAAGGAGTACGATAAGAAATGCTAATTTATTTATTTCAGTGTATAGTATTTATAAAGATACCTATCATATGTCATGACTACACATAAGGAAAATTTCCGCAGCACTACTTAGCATATCAAACTATTCCAGTCATTTGTCTATCCAACTTCATACAGTACTAAGTCCATTTTACCTATGCAGTTGAGATGAGATGACAGGATGTTATGACTAGAGAATAAAAGTAAAATATAGACCCACTATACGGTACTTGGATACTAAGCTTAAAGTTTTAAAAGCAAGCATAGTTCGTTACTTTGTGTATAGTAAATGCTAAAATATGCTAAATTTAAAAAATATGCTAAATTTTTTCTACTTGAGAGGAAGCGAGGGAGGGGATGAGTTATAGAGGCGAAGCGCAATGCACTTGACGTAAGTGATTCATTTGTAATTAACATCACCATCATCTACAAGTGCAGCGCTTGTCTGAATTAGTTTAAAATCTCAAGGAGCACGACATTAATTACTCTTCAGTGTAGATAAATTTGTGCATGTTTCATTGTTCACGTTTCTGTTTATCTGAAAATACATTTATTGATACTATAAAATAATTGAATACATGTATACAGTTTAGCCATGATTTGCATGACTACTCATTCTGTACTTAATAATTAATTGTTGTTGCAATGGGGAAAAATCTTGCTAGAAATGTAAGTGTAAGCATAGATCTTGCTAGACTTATCATCCTCTAGAAGTACTCTTGCAATTCCCTCAACACAACTGAAAACAGAACGGTATTGGTAGACTGCTTGGTTGACCCCTGTGCATGGTAATTAATTGTAGTGTGTGGATGTGAGGCAACAGTTTGCTTGCTGACAAGGTTGATGGGGGAAAGAAAGGATGATGATTCATTCTCATTGATTTGTCGGTAAGGGCACTTCACACCCTCAGTAAATGGACACTTGTGGGCATTCATTTTCAGCACGATAATTTGTTCATCTATGATTAATTGCTGATCGATTATTTATGGTGCTAGTAGCACATAGTCAATCCTCCTCCTTGCTTGCATTAAATATAAAATTATAGTGAGAGAAAACTGCCTTTACTAGCATGTTGTGAGTATGAATGCCATGCCCAAGTATACATTATTGAATAGTATGAATCGCAGTAAATTTTATTACTTACAAGTGCTTATATTCATTAATAAGTACTAGTGAATGTGTTAAAATAATATTACGATACTACAAATAAAAAGCAGGATTAGACAATTATCCTATAAAATCAGTATGACAAGTCAGCAGTATTACGCATTACATTATTCGCAATTTATACATCTGATCTCTGAACAATAGAAATTCATTCTTTTGTCTGTTGTAAAAGTAAATAAAATTATGAGATTAAGAGTAAATAGACTTTTGACTCATAAGTTTATCCTTCGGTTTATAGAACAAAAGTCCAAAAATAATGCAATTAATTTAGTGCAAGTGAAATTTTGTGCTAAATGAAATTGTGAGAATAAGTAGGGAAGAGAAAAGAGAAGGAAATAATAACAGCAAATTTATCTAATAAATTAAATTGCATACTTGTATATAGCTGAAAAAGTGATCAAGTGTACAGATACACTACTAAATAACTATTATGAAGCGTAGAAGAATGCATAACAAAAACAGTACTTATAATATTATTGTTGCAGACAATAATTGTGGACTGTCGATCCTTCACACATTATAATCAGCTTCATATTCGACATGCTATCAATGCATTCTATTCCAAAATGATGCGTCGTCGTTTGTATGACAATAAAGTAAGTGAAGTGACTGACTGTATTATTTAGCAATTGTGACATTGTTCATGCTTTTCTTAAAACCACATTGATCATAGTTAAATATATTAATAAGGTAAAAATTAGTAAAGGGATTGATGAGCTAATAGGAAGTTCTGCAGTTGAACTATTCGGATGGCAGTTCATTAGCCATACCAGTATATAATCACACTTATTATATCACTGTATTCACTGCCTCTTGAAGTAAAATGTAATATTTTTTGCTTAAAGTGTTCATATACTTTGATCTGGAATAAAAAGTTATCTATTTCAGTGGTTTGTCACACTTTTTAGTGACAAGTTGTGCTACATTATTATTATTATTATCAATACTAATATTATTTTTCTCGTTTAATTTTTACATATACTTTTTGCATCACTTTCTTATATTGAGTGATGAGTATTATCATAATTACCATTATTTTCGTTCTTAAGCTTCATATAAGCTGACGAATACAGTGCAAATTTTTTCTAAGTAATACAGTTTTAGGATAAATTAAATGATTTTGTGCTTACTCACACGTACATTCACAAGAATAAGATAGATTAGGTACCGAGAGAAGGGTATCATTATGAGTCAAATAAAGATCAAAGATCTTTTTCCTTCATTTTTTAATTCATTTACAAATGATATCTTTGGTGTAACAGAGAGACACATTTCTTGTATATCTCAATGTTTGCATATGAAAAATTATTAACAAGAAAAACCGAATGATTCATAGTAGTGCCAGTGTAACACTTGATTGATGACGAAAACATGTGATTTATAATGAGAGAATTTTAGACATCAGCATCACTTACCATCCCAAGTACCTCAAATCGCACATTTTTGCATCAGAATATGGAAAATGTACTAACGGGCTGATTCAAGTTGTACTTGAGACTCAAAAAATAATAACTTATCGGATATTTTATTCTGCGATTCTTTGAATATTATTTTTCTGAAAATCTTAGAATTCAAAAAACAAAAATACTGTATTCTGTTTAATTCGTTTCATCATAATTTTTCAGTTGTTTTAAAAAAAATGTATTTATATGTCGGGATATATCTGGTGATCAAATTTCTATTGCATAAAGCTGAAAACCCTAATAAACAACAATATGTTTGTGATGTCTGTCTTAATTTGCATTTAGATTCAGATTAGAAGTCCTAATTTGCTCATACTTTTCATGAGAAAAAGTTCTGTTTTGAGCATCAAAATCTTTTGAATTTCATTTATAAAATTTGCAAAGAATACATGCGCAATTCAGCTTCATTTCGATTTTGACATTTAATATAGGAGTATGCAATTTATAGATAGTAAATTTCCTTATTTTTCAATCACTTTACGTCATGAAACACTTGGTTTCCTCTGCGAGTAATCATAAATTTATACTCATTGTAAATAATATGAAATATCAAAATAAAAATCAGAAAATGAGTTGAGAACGGAATTGGAGATGTCTAGATAATCAATCCAGTGTGAAAGTGCAGTATGATGTAAGCACATCAATTTAAGAGAAAGTAAATTTAAATCATTTGTGGTAATGCAGTTTTGACGAGCTATCATTACTTTCCTATTACTGAAGTTGATAGGTTAAATAGCTACGACTTTTTAGGTTTGCAATAGTATGATGTTATCTCATATTGGTGAAGAAAGGTGTAGCTCCTCATCATTACTCGACTTGGTACTATATGCAGAAAGTGGAGAATGTAGTGGAAGTAAAAGTGTGAACAATAATTATGGTACGGTGTTGTCTCATATGAAACGGAAATATTGTAAAAGTGGAAATTGCTCTGATGACTCACCTCAGAAATTACTTCAAACATTACAAGAGAAATTTACATCATTGAAGCGATTCCGTAATGTTCTCATCTTACGCGGTATGTTTTTTCCTTTTCATCATCTAAGCACTTTTTTTGCTGTAAGTTTTCCGTCTACTTTTTTTTGTCTGGCTTATCGTTTATGTATTGAGGATGAATAAAGAGATATGAGTCATTTTAATGGACTGGTAAACATCACATTACGTATGTAGTAAACCTATTGGTTGTTGCAGTAGCTCTCTGAAAGGACAAGTAATTTCCGACAAATGATGGAATAAATTTAGTGGAGGTGGAAATATTACAGATTGATTTTTGAAGTTTCTGCAAAGAAATGAAATTTAAAGTTAGAAAGACTTCTTTTAAAATAGAGTAGGTGTAGCTTATTGCAAGAATATGTGATGTATGTGAAATAGTTAAACATGTAAATGCGATAGATAGCTAGTAGTACTGTGAAGTGAACGATGAAAGAAGCAAGTTCACTGATTTGTATCTGATGTGATGAGTATGCTTGTCTTCTTTGATAATATCATTCATTCTTTTCTTCTTAGGAAAAAGATGTGAGTGAAATTTATTTGAACAAAATCGACAAGAAAATTTTTAAGAAATTATCATGTGCTATTATATATTTATTTGTGTTGTGTGTGTGTGTGTGTGTGTACATGTGTGTGTACATGTGTGATATGTGAAAATTATTAAAATTTTGCAGTATTTGTAGATAAATATCGTAGAATCAATAATATTATTGCCCATGAAAGAGAGTGAGATTAGTAATGAACCACTTGATGCACCATTATTCATGCATCATTTTACAAAATAAAATGTCAAAAAGTGATGAGAAATGTTTCTTTCCTTGTGTTTTAAAGATATGTTTAATGTAATGTAAAGTACAAGCAAAGGACAGTAATAAACTGATCTTTGTTTGCGTTTGTATATGTGCGTGTGTGTGTGCGTGCGTGCATGCACGTACCCGTATCTTTATACAAAGTTTCCTGAGCAGCAATCAGTCTTTTCCACCGTTTAACATTTTATTCATCATTCTAAGATCACTATGTTCTTCTTGCCAACTCATCTTCTGCTTGTTTATTATGTGTTAGACATGGCATTCTTGGGAAGTGGAGGATAAAATTCTCAGACTTTGTCTATTCAATTTTGATGAGAGATTTCAAAGAGATGTTTAACGTGTACATGCATGTTTGTGCGTGCATATGTTTCTTGTCAGCAACTGTTGCCAGTTTTGAACTATTTTATATCATGCTATAAGCAAGCACGCATATATTTCATCTCCTGATTCAAATGTCAGATGTCACCATACGTTTCATAACTACCTGTCATTGTTTCCTGTTGTCTATCAAAAAAATGAAGCAAAAAAGATGCTTGTATCGAAATTAATTACTGCAATGAACTTAGGAGCCGTATTCATGAGATTCGCGAGTAGGACTGCATATCTTGAGAGGGGGCATATTTATTCCTTCAAGATATAATTAATATGATGAATAATGATATATAGATTAATTATATATTTTGTATATACATTAAGTGGTCTTACCACTTAAATATATATACAAATACATTGTTTCACATTTTTTAAATGTTGTACCAATTGTTGCTGCTTGATTTTATAATAGACTTATTAGAATGCAATACATTTAGTATAATTACCACTCTATTAAAATAAATGAGTCTGATTGGTGTTTTTAATAAATCATTACATGTAGAGCTTGTAAATGACATTTTGAAGAACAAATGAAATTTCATTTCCGTTGCAATAGAATTCCATAATAGGAAACGGGATTAAGAGAAATTCGACAACCAAAATCAAAACGAAGTTAGTTGGAATAACCACTTTGTGATTATTTTGGTCGACTATCTTAGTTCATCTGTTTCAGAATAGTCATATGAGCGATATTTCTGAAATGGTGAATATTTCAGATAGAATAAGCTTGGTCATTCGTCTAATTGGCTTGGTTTTCATTTCGCGTTGCTCTAAATTCCGCACGACTCTTTTTTGGAGCATTTCTCGTAGTATCACGTGGTTTTTGTAAGATGAGACATCTTATTGTCAGAGTTTTTTTTACTCATCAAAGTTTTCATCAGCTTCATATTTAGCACTAGTATTCTTCAATATTTCTCACGCATTACGATAAAGGAAAGTTAGTAAATTGCTGTCATGTTTAATGATTAAATACATATATGCAGCAGAGGGTCCAGCAGGTGCTATGTGCTGACTCATCGTCATCCCTCGCTGGTGGCTATATGGATCGTTTAGACATTCTGTTGTTTCTGTGTGTGTGTGTTTGTGTCTGGTGAGTCTTTGAATGTTTTATGTATGTCTGTGTGCGTACCCTGATTTATGTTATGTATGGATGCGTAGTTTGTTTGCTTAGCTTCTAATGCCTACTCCTTTTTCGTAATCCGAACTGCCTTCCTTCATTTAAAGCTATTTCATTATCATCACTATCATTGGTATTATTATTATTATTATTATTATTACTACTAGTATTTATTAGATGAAAAAAGAAGTGAGAGGTGCAAGATTGCATGGTTGATAATTGCTATGATAGACAATGATAATACTGACAGCCAAATTCTCTCTTTATCAAAAAGTAAGAGAATGGATTAGTTCGGTGCATATTTGAAACCATGCGTTTATTATGAAGAGTTTTTATCATACGATAATGTACGGTCGACTAGTTAATGTTGTGTTTGTAGTTGTAGTAAGTTGAAAAGTATGAATGAGAAGAGTAAGTAGAGGTCTTTTTCCATTTTATTAGGTGATCATTTTGCTAAGGCTGGTTGTATGAGCCAAAGATATGCAACGAAAGTAATTTGTCTACCTGAAAAGTAGATAAAAGAAAGCAAAAGAAATGAATGGACAATAAAGTATTGAAGATTTTATAGATCGTGAGAACAACGGTTATTCTTACGGAAGCTATCAATATTTACCTCACTGTTCTGTTCTGTCCTGTTTGCTTCTAACCGTTTTAGCATGACTTGATGGCTTGCCCCGTGACGAGTTGTAAACTCTGACGGGACTTGACAGCACCGAATGTATCATCATCCAGTAGTAGTGGCAGGCAGCAGAAAAAGGCAGGGATGCATATTGTTGGTTCACGTTCTTCCGAGTATTGAACGGAACGGGTTGAAAGGCCTGGCTTGCTGGGTCTAGAACTGCTGTTTGTGTAGTGTCAGCTATCTAGGACATTTTATTCTACCTCATTTTTCTCTGTTAACTTTTTCTTCTCATTTGAGTGATAAAAGCCTAGAGCAAAAGAAGAGCAAAGCTTTTCTTGTTTGTTGTATTTATGTTCAGTCGTTAAGTGGAAAGGGTCGTTATAGCAACAACTTTTGCTTTCCCTGCAACCATATTCATATTCTGCACTGCTGCTCTTACTTTATTAGTTGCTGCTGCTATTCTGGTAAGCGGTGTGGGATCCGGAATGCGCCGACCATGCACTTTCAGTCAAACCATTTCCGATAAACCTTCCACTTCCACCTTTCGTAAGTATTGCTGTCAGAAAATCTTTTCACATCCTCTCAAATATATATCGCAACATTTTTGGTTAGAGCTTGCTACTAACTACAATCCAAATCAATTACTCTTAAGCTGAGACATTTATTTTCATTTTCTTATCGCTCTAACCAGATTTGTTTCTTTGCATCGCTGTTCAGTACTTTCTCTCTTTCTGATATTATTGTTACTGGTCATTATAAGTGATAATTGTTGATATCATTTGTATTACTATTACTTGAATTAGAATCATGATTACCGTTATTATTTCTTTTTGTGATTTGGTGAATGCTATCATAGCAGTTCGGTAGATTATTTATTGAGCATTGTCTAAAAATGATGCAAGAATTATTATTTATTGCCGAAGGAATTTCATCGCAAAAAATCCAAGTTCAAGTTTATAGCTAGCCATTTCCAAGTAAATAAGCTTTACTACTAATAATGGGTTTTTCACATTTCAAAGATGTGTTCATTATGGGAGGTTATTTTATGGGATTTCGTCTTCATTGTCTGGTAGTTTTGTATTTTGGACTAATTAAGGGCAGTATTTAGTATTAATCATAGAAGTTTTCTTTTTTTAGATGGATTCGATGATTTCCGAAAGCGTTATCCGGAGTTATGTGAGAGTTCCACTGGATCACGTGATAAATCCGATAAAATCGTGATGGAAAATTGTATTCGATCAAGTATTTCTCATCCATGTCTTTCAAATGCTAATGACGGTCCAAGTCAGATCTTGCCATTTCTTTATCTCGGATCACAGCAGGATGCAATGGATTCTGGAGTTCTGTCGGTAAAATTTGCTTTTTTGTTAATTATATCCATTTCCGATAAAATATATGTTGAAACGCCATTGTTTAACATTTAACGCATTTGCTGATTACAAAGCAAAAATATTTTGAAAAGTACAAGATCTTTATTGGTTAGTTTCATTCAGGAATAGAAGCTATATTATGAGGGAACTAATGTGTGAAATTGAGAAAAATTGCAGAGGTATGGTATTAAATATGTGATCAATCTTAGTGTGAGTTGCCCACAACCCGACGCTCTTCAGCAAGAGGGTCATTTCATGCGTATACCTGTTAATGATACGTATCAAGAAAAGTTATTGCCTCATTTTGAAGCTGCTTTCAAGTTTCTTGGTGAGTAGCTATCTTTATCTCTTAGAAAATACTATATTATCCCTCCATGAATGGTGATCCTTTTGCAGATGGAGTTTGTGAAAGAGGTTCCGTTGCCTTGGTTCATTGTCTCGCTGGTATTTCACGAAGTCCAACATTGGCTATCGCTTACATGATGAGGCGAAACAATTGGACTTCAGAACAAGCTTATAGGTTAGCTTCGATGCTCTCTCGATCGCAGAACTCTCGGATTTATTGTTTCGAGTCGGTCCTCATCACAAACGAGTGGCATTTGACGATGTTTATTGATTATTTCCTCTTGTACACGACAGGTTGAGATGTATTCTATTCTATACTCTCGTATATGGGTCATACGATAAGCGTTGATGCAACAAGTATATTTATGTATCCGCGGAAGTTTGCATAATCTTGCTTGTACTTGTTGCGCGCAGGAATGATCTTTTCTGATTATGAGCGTATTCTCATTGCATTCAGGTTCATGTATGTCGTATTATGCAGATGCATGTGACGCTCAGCAGTAACTTCTGAAGTTGCGACTACGGTTATGTATGCATTTATGATAGGCTTGACTGCGAAAAGTTTCTGCAAAAAATCTGATCTATTTGTTTAACTGATTAGTTTAATGAAGTATTGCAGATATGTGAAAGAACGTAGACCATCTATTTCACCAAATTTCAATTTTATGGGTCAGTTGCTAGAATACGAAGCCCGGCTTCGGGAACAAGTTGGTTTGACTATGGCTGTTAATCGTAGCAACAGCAGTTCTGTTACGTCGGCACCCTTCAATTTAGCTTCTATTACAAACTCTGATTCCACCAATGCATATCAAGTTGAGGTAATTCCGATATCATCCTAACAATATTTTTTTAAAGCAAATTTTTTCTATTTAAGTTAGTGAAGCATTTTATATTCAATTTGGAAGAGAAAATCATCCGGTCTTTGATACATATAAGAAAGAACTGAAGTGTCTTCAACGGAGTTTAGTCATTTCTGTTCGGTATCTTTTTTTAATTTGGTGGGTCTTGTTTGTGATGATTCTTTCTTGCTCTGAGATGGCTAATTTTTTCACTCATATTCTTTTGATCAGTTTTACACATAACATTTTGTATGAGTTGGGCTGAAAAACTACCGGAAGGAATTAAAAACGGATATCTTACCCAGATTTTTTGAAAATGTGTGGGGTAGAGTTGTTTCGCAGGAATAAATAAGAAACAACAATTTAATATCATGTTTTAATTGCAATTAAGGAGTTTCAAAAATATATTCATTGGGGGATAATTTTCAGAGCTGTAATAGCACTGAAGCTATTGCAAAGTTAGAGAAATCTGTTAGTTGCAATGCATTGTCTCATGGAGTCTCATCATGTAAGCCACGAAGTTTCTGGGATAGCGATTGCAGTGAACCATCTTCAAGAACCAATAAGAATGGTAAACGAGCAATGGAATCGACAAATCTGCATCTGTTAGGTCGACCAAGAATTCTGGATGGGTTAAAATCTAGAAAGGCTTTAAGTATACCACAGAAGGTGGATGAGGTATTTAATGGAAACTTTCGACACTGATAGCAAGAAATGACTAGTAATTTTCCAAATTTGAATTTCTCTCTAAAGAAAGATAATCAAGTAATTTATATAAATTACGTTATATAACGTTGGCTTTGAGTGAGTTATCGCTTGAATTTTTTTTTTTTTTTGTACATACTAATAGTAGTTTCTAATGTGAGGATTATTGCTATTGCTCACTGAAATGAAGAAAATGGAAATATGTATTCCAAACGATACTTAGAAAAAACCATTCTTTAGATTTGTGTCTATACCTTAGTACTAGTTTCAGGACTTGCCATCACCGTCGACAGAATTGCAAAAGCTTTCATTTACTCATTCATCTGGGACGTGTCATTCCGCATCAAATCCATTCTTTTTCGGCAGTGCTAATGAAAAATCGTCATCAGTGTTTGTAGATCCAGTGATACCATCAACGTCTCAGTTATGGCATTATTCAGCTGAAAATTTAACATTCGATTCTCGCGATAGATCACCGATCTCTTTTACGTTGCCTTGTACAGCTAACCATTGGGCGACAACAAGTCACAAGTTTTTTACACGTTTTTATCATTGTTTTCGGAAAGGAATGTGTTCAGTCGAACGAAAAGGAATTCCTCGTCTGACCACAGCCACTTTCTCCGATCGAAAACCGATAGTTCTGTCTAACCATTCATGTTCTTCATCAGCCGACCAAGAAGGCATCTTAGGTTCTTCGCCAAGTACTCCAGTAGTTGTGGTTAGATCACATAGTGTAAATGATTTGAATGAAACGCACAAATATCCACCGAGGTCTGCGATGTCACATATCTCGTTCATACTTCACAGTCAGCAAATGATAGAACAACAGCTACCAAGTCATTCCCCATGTACTGCTGCTTCTGCTACAGATAGTGGTGGAAGTAAAAGTAGTATCAGTAGTAATAGAAGTGATAGTATTAGTGCTAGTGAGAATAGTGATAACAGAATTAATGGTAGAAATTCTAGCCCTGCAGGTCAGTCCTCAGAAACATCAGTGGCATTTCATGAAACCGATCGTGATTCTATTAGTTCTGCAAGCTCTTTGGAAATTTTAGTTCAGTGACAGGTGTTAGAATTTTTTCCAGTTTGTTCTGAAGATAGTATGCATGTTTGGTCAACTAATTTTTTTTTCCTTAGAAATTTCGATTAATATTACGGAATGCATAGGACCACTTGTGTTTCAAATGTATTTGTAGATTGATGTAAATTTAGGAAAATTCGTTGAAATATTGAACTTGTCACTGGTACCAGAATAAAGGCACTAATTACAATAATGGATTATGTCTTCGTATGTTTTGTTCAAATAGTGTGTCCGTTAAATTTCTCAAAGTACTGAAAATATTCAACTTTGCTATCCAATCTGACTGTAAAGGCAGCTAACTTAGAATATATATTTGTAATAGTTATCTGCAAGAAATCATCTTGTGCGTTTTCTCTACGTCAGATGCGAACCACATATAAATGTAGAATTTTGTAAAGATATTTGGCCCTAGTTTGCCTCATTAGAGTAAGGTGCTGTCTTAAATTCTAATTTCAAGTGAATTTTCCTGGATTTACTCATTCCTGGTCTTTAGGAGTTTTTGTCAAGTGCTATGGATTAGCATAAATTGATAGTCATGTTCCTGTAATTCACTGCCGTACGAAACTAGTATTGGTTCCTTTATTAATAGTGTCTATGGAGTCTTCTCTTTGGATTATTCAAAATAAATAACTAGAACCAGATATCTCTTCCTTGTTTCTATGGACTTGTTTCCTAATGTACATCCATAATGCCTTTTTGGTGCGTTTTTAACAAATATTGCTCGCTAAGCTTGTATGAGTGTGTAAGTACTGCTTAAAATATCAGGGAAGAAGACTGATTAAGGAGTCATTAATTAAACCTCACATTAATAGGTAATTCCGAGAATGGATAGTTTTTTACTAAGATATGAGGTATGTCAGCGGACAATTGGAATTACCCAATTCACTTGTTTTAGAGTGCTTGTTTCGCATGTAATGTAAATGACAAATTTCATACATATATATATGCCATTAATCATTGGATGAATAAAGTAGGCATTGCACTAACGCATTGCATCGGATATCATTTTCGAAAGCAGTTTTGGGTAATCAGTATATCATATGTATTAGTGAGACATTGTATCAACAAATTCATTCACATTTCAACAAGAATATATGTACATGTAAGCAACTCAGCCAAATTCAAAGATTAGGAAGAGAAAAGAGGTGTAGCCAAACAAAATTAAAGCATGAAATATTAAGATGAACAGCTTCCATATAATATGATTCATTTAACCTGGTACATTAGAAGTTTCATAACCACAATCACAGTAGGAAAGACGGGAAATTCAACAGCAGTGTGAGTTACACGTACAGCACAATAGGAAAGACGAGAATCGTTGACGGTTATAATTACACATGACGAGGAAAGAAAAACCAAATATTCAATAATAATCTGAATGACACTTATGATAAAAAAGCAAATATCCCTGAGATGAGAGCACCTCCTCCATCGAAACTCTCGAGACCTTCTGGTCATCACACTGGAACCACTGATTGGTCTGGTGCCTAATGTAACACGTGTAATGGCCACTTTCCATAGTACCCAAATGGTTCACTACTCCAAACAATTCATATCTGGAATGGTCAGTTAGTAATACTCATGATGGACGCGAGCCTATCCCATAAAATCATTTTCACATGATTATAAGATCAAATAACAGATCGGAATTATTTGTCCTACGGAAATAGTGGAAGAATGTACCAAGCTCAAATTCTATTTAAAGCATTACTTATTTCTGTTCTTTTTCAGTAAGTCACTGACGACACTGAAAGTATTTTCAGGAGAACACGTCGGACGTTCATGATAAGATGCTGTGAACGGTGTCATGTCAATAAATTGTGGGTATTTGATTACTGTATCCATTTTCTTACGATCATTATGATTATGCTCGAATCGTTTTAAATGAAAACATGCAACCATTGGGAGCGTTTTCAGCGTAAGCTGCTTCGTTGATTCTTCATATGTCTCACAACGAGCACATCTCGTTTTCGCATTGCTTCCCAAATGCTCTGGCATTATGTACCTGAAAATGGCATTGTTTATGTTTATGTTTGTGCTATTTTATTTTTTTGTTTAAGTATTGCTTTCACACTGCATATCCAAGTTGGAACTCCCATTAACTATGCCATGCGATAATTTCTTGTTATGTTTAGTACCTACCTGCGCAAACAATCTTCTAAAGTCATGTCTGGTGAATTAAAAGCAGCATCGGATGAAAGCAGCACTTCCTGTGCCACATCCAGCGAAATATCCCAAAAAGGGTCCACAGTAGTCGAAACACAGCTGGAATTTTCAATCATAAATCCCTCATCTGATTATGAATTCAAATACAAAAACGTTGTTTAACATTATTAACAATTTTCTGATGGTAGCTACTTTTGTTATTATATTATTTTCGAAAAAAAACCCCAGCAGTTCACATATGTAAAACATACCCACAAATTGAACAAGTAAGATCTGATTGTAATTTCCCAGTAAATATCCAATCGATAATACAATTGCAATCATTTGGTGTGAAGTTAGGCGAGCTACCTATCGCAAACAAAAATTGATAAATTCCATGTAAAAAAAGATACACGGGAGAAAATTCTATGAAACGGTAGTAAGTTTTGAAAAAAAAGATGCACTTCCAGAATGCCGGTGAAGTACATCAAGAGCTGCAATAAAAAATTCATGCGCATCCTGTTGTTCGTAGCCAGCTAAATGCCTAGCATGAGTCCAGACGAGATTCAAGAACCGATTTGGTTTGTATGGTGTCGTATTACCACTATAAAACTCCTGGAAATATCAATGTTAATTCACAAATATGTAATAGAGAGCACAAAACTTTAGTCAAGTAAATAAAGAAACATTGACTTAAAAATAATACAGTTTAAGAACAAGTTCTATGAAATTTAAAAAATGTAGTAAAGATGCGGCCAAAATATTTTATTCAAAAAATGCGCTAAACTGAGTCAAAATTAATGGAAACACTTCATCCAAAAATAATTTGAAATACCTGGAAGGTATTGGCAAGCTCACACATGAGACAGTGAGCTTTACTATGTGAAGCAGATGAACGACGGTGCTGATCTGTTAGAAAATAATCCTTCAACTGAGGTGTGTGTACGATCGCTTGTATTATACAATTCATAAAACATGTATTTCCTAAGTTAACGAGTCCCCGTAAACCTACAATGAAAAAAGAATTATGGTTTGCATATAAATATTGTAGTATAAAGTGTTAATTCAAATTTATAAGTCAATCAAATGTATAAAACTTTGATGGCTTCATGAACGTCAGGCGAGATAATAATCTGCTTTAATACTACTGTAATTATGCTATAAAAAGTTATTTGAAAAAGTTCAGTATTTTCATAGAAAGACAAAAACCATTGAAGACATTTCGAACTATTAAGCCAAACACTGGAACTACCTCTGACACTACTTTTTGAAAAAAGGATTATCCCAGAAGTATCTCGGAAAGCATTAGCTATTGCAGTGCTCGGATACCAAACACTTCTTGTACTTAAATTAAGCGACCTTCGATGAACATTTTCAGCATCTCGTCGATTTTTTTCCATCTTACGGTTGTAAATAAAATCGTCGCATCCAATGCAGTAAAGAAAACCTTCTCCAACGGATACTGCTGAAAATGATAAAAAATCACAACTAATCTACCATGATGACCAATACTGAATCGTTAGAGCAGCAGCAATGTTTGCTTACCAAAGCCATGCCTTTGATTAATCATATGACCTTTCATATGCTTCAAGCAAGCGAATGTTGAGCATTCACAGCACGAACACATTAAAGCATTTATTCTTGTCCTGCACTGCATGCACCTTACAAATTTAGCCTAAAAATTTAGTAAGTTCAATTATAGCATAAAAGCTTATGGAACGTAAGATATTTGCAATAATTATTTTAAATGATTTTAAAAAACAAAACGCTAACACATTTTCAAAAGAATTAAACAAGTACCAGTCACTATCAAATCCATGCACAGATATAATCATAAAATCATTAGCAATACAAAAACAAAAGAGATTAATTTAAATAAGTGAGACGTATACATATGTCTTTTTACTCTTATGCAAACTACTAACTGTCCGATTAGCACTATTCAATACTCACATGAAGTCCCCGTGACATTGTATTACAGGGAAAAATAACGGAATGGACAACACTAAGTGCTTTCATTAATGTTCGTTTGTGCTTTGTAAGATGCACACAAGAATGAGGCATCAATTTCCTGAAAATTTTTGAGTAGATTTTAGATAGAAGAGGCGACTTTCACGTTTATAATTGCAATTTTAATTTACAACTATATAGTGCATTTTGATAGACAGTTGCCTCTCTTGCATTTATTAAAACTAAATCAACATTAAAAAACTGCAACATGGAAACCTACACAAGAAAGCTGAGAATTTCATGCATGACAAGTCAGGTATAGCATGATGCAAAACTATGTTACGTAGTGTACCTTTTATTACGAGTACAATAGGCGACCTGCGCTCGAACACACTGGACTGCCACAATGTTCGCCATTTATGACAAAATTCATCATATCCAGGATTAACCCAAAATGAATAGAGCGCCCTACAAAAGTTGATGAATCAGAAACCAAGTAGCAACATTTACATAAATCTTAAAGTATTACCTTATAAAACACCAGCCTCCATCTTTAAATTAGGGATTAGCAATAACTTTCCTAACTGCGTAATCCAAACTACGTACATGACAAGTAATCATTTAAGAAGCATGTAGTAAATGCACTAAATTGTAAAAAACGTTAAAATATCACAGTTTATTGATAAGGACAAAGAATTTTTACATTGACAACGAAAAAAAAAGGAACAAAAACAATGGCAAGAAAACGTTAACAATCACCATTTGATTAAATACACATATTTTATTTGAATCATGTCTTAACAACAAAATATCTACGAAAAGTATTCACAAACAACATCACTCCTTTGACATCTGTAACCCATTGTAAACCTGAAACAGCAAAATTAGCATTCAAGACAAATAATAAAACAGATAATCAAAAAAAAAGTTATCCAAAAAATCCTTGTTTTAGTGATTCAATAAATAATGTAATAAATAATGTAAACCTTTATAAATATATACCTTTGGTTTAATAAAGTCTTGTTTAAGAAGTGACTTTATAACTTCCTTTTGTTCAGAAGTTAATTCACCATGTGGGAAATCAACATCTACCGTAATATAAAGAATCCCTTTCTTATTATTGTCTACAAATGAAGGCATCCCTTCATCCTTTTTTCGAATTCGTGCCCCTGGCCAAGTTATTTTGTTCCGAACAATCTAAAATTTGGAGAAAAATGTGAAGCTAAAGAATAAGTCCATTTAATTACAGCTTTAAAATCTGGAAAACAATGAAGATAAGTGTAGTAAGTATTTCCTATGCTTCAGAAATTTTTTATTTCCGTCACCTCAACTTTATGTCCATCAAGATGAGTTATTTCCATTCTGAATCCATTTAATGCATCTTGTAATGATATGGTAATATTGGTGTAAAGATCCAAACCACGGCGCTCAAAGACCGGGTGCTTTTCAATTCTAGTCACAAATATCAAATCACCTGGTTGGCCTTCGATATGAGGCTCACCTTCTCCTGAGAATGTCTGAGTTTGTCCTTCATCCACTCCCACTTCAATTTCAACCTGTAAAAAATTTCGTCATATACACATGCCTTCATCTAGAACATCTACAATTTAAAATGAAATCTTATATTTTGACACAACATTATGTTGAAAACCAGTGCCCAAGTTCTTTGGATTAACACAGAATAATGCAGTAATTTATGTACCTCAAATGAAATAAAATGCTCTGAAAGTGAAACAACGAGCAAGAAAAAATTGAATTAACAAAGGTGAACAGAGTTGTGCTACAATCAACCATTTACAACATACCTACCTATTACCAATCTAGGACGACTACTAAAAAATAAATTCAAATAAAATTTGAAAGATCGACTTTACTTCTAAACCAAATCATAAATAAACTTTAGCATCAAAAATTCAGAAAAATATAGGATCATAAAAAATTTACCTCAACAAATCGGGTTTCCTGTTTGAGTACAACACTGGGGCATTCATCGCACACTTTCACTGAAAACATCTGGAACCTACCAGCACCTAACTGTTCGGCTCTCATTTCATCATGACAATTACACTTTCTCGTACCTTTTGTTTGCTTGTAGATCGGTTTTACTCTGTAACGATTACAACGGTCAGTAAAATTGTCATGATGACAGTTTTACAACGGTCAGTAAAAGCAGACATCTTGAAACTAATTTCAAAGATATACTCTTTCCAAACTAATACTACCAATCAAACGACTGTCAAATAAGATTAAAAAATTCTGACAAAACTAATAAATATGAGCTTCAAAATCGAAAAATATGTTAAACTGACTCAAATACTAACAGAAAACAAACAAATAAGTCAGATACTGACAAATAATTCTCGGACCTTTTTATTTCAATAAAATTTCCGTTATATACTTCTTCAAGAGTGACCCATAAATCTAATACAACGTCAGCACCAACAGGAGTTCCCTCCTGACGGCGTCTGCTGCCACCAAAAAAGTCACCGAAAAACGAGGAAAACGGATCATGAAATCCGTTACTATCACTACCTATATTTTTCAAACCTTCTTCACCATAACGATCATACACTTTCCTCTTTTCTGGATTACTGAGAACCTGAAAACTAGATGATCAAAAAAACAATTTTTTTATTTCTCTAGCAACAGAAATCTACAAAAAAAATTCAGAATTTATGCAAAAATTCAAATCCAAGAAACTGTTTTGCATTTTTCATTTTTAATATGCCATTACTAAATAATTTAGACAAGCTAAAATGTAACTACAATGATAAGAATATAATAACGTTAGCAGAGCAACAGCAATCACTTGAACATTTCAGCTAATTGAGAAAAATTAATAAAAATTTACGTAAAATATGAAACCTAACCTCATATGCTGCACCTAAATCTTGAAATTTCTCTTGTGCCAAAGGATTACTACTTTGCTTATCAGGATGCAATTCTTTAGCTAGTTTGCGATAAGCTTTCTTGATTTTATTGATATTCGCATCACGTGGTACGTTAAGAATTTTGTAAAAATCCCGTCCAGCTAATACGATAAAAAACTGGGTAAAAAAGCACAACAGCAGGTAAAGAAATGAAATATCCATAGAACTCAGCACCCGTTATCCAAAAACTATTAAGTTTATTTTAGTAGATTGGAAGAGATGCGAGCTTCAAATAATCATCATCAATTTCTGCAAGATATTTTCCACCTATTGAATGAACTGATAAATCAGCAACACATATAAGCACAGTATACTTCAGTTCCTCAAATTTCTCGCTTTTTAAGACTGATTCTTAACATCACATGACCGCACATTGAAATTAATATAATACTTACAACATAGTTTTGCTTGTCTTTGCAAGATCTTTCAATAGAGCGACTGAAAAATATTTCCTATAAAAAGTAACTTGCCTGAACCTCTCAAAGCTCCCAGTTTCGAGGTTTTTTCCCCTGTATATCATATGACTGCATATTTGAACTCATGTAGTTTTATTAATCATTTAAAAAGCATAACAAAAGACTAAAGACGTGATGGTATTATAATATCTAGCACTATCATTGTAAAGACATATAAACACTCCTTCTAAAATATTCAAGTTTGGCAGTTTACGATATGACACTGCTTGAGGTATAAATGTTGAAGGACCAAAAAAAATTGTCTTAACTTCCAAAATAACAGATAACAACTGGCTAGTTCTGCACGTCATTATAATAAAGAATACAACTTTGTAAGCAATGTGATAAAAATATTGCCATACCATAATATTACACGTTAACAATTTCTGCTTGAAAAATAAATATGACACAAAAAATCAAACAATATAAGTACACAATGTAAGCAAATATAGCAAATGACTCTTAATACTCGTCAGCATTGGTTTTTCATTACGTAACGTATGAAAATTTAGCGTCATTATAACTTATAACTGCTTCGTTAATCGATAACGTAATATAGACAAACTTCTTATATTGCAAATTCTTTTTGCTAAATTTTATATACAAGTCATGTTATTATTCATTGCTAAATGACTTGAAAGTTATTTACATCACATAATTCACTGACATGAAATTGACTTCCTTAATTGATAGATATTAACTTAACTTATATTTAATTCTTTCAAGTAAACTCCCTGTACAAACTAACAAACTACTAACACATTCTAAAACAATTGTTACTGAATTCGTTTAAAAAAATATCGCATTCGCTTAAACAAATTAATCCTTAAAAACCACTAAGTATGGTGAATCAAGGATTTCATTTATTTTTCTCAATAGTAACGAGATGGGAACTAATAATATCATTCAAGTTTGAATTGATTAATCAGAGTGACATACCGAGTATGAACAAACTTTGGTTCTTGTTAATAGGAATTTGTGTATTTAATGCTAATTATTAGTTTTGTTTCCTTATTGCATGATTTGTATAATTAAGTAGATTGAAATAATAAAAAATTGCATATTTTGATTCATGTCATTAGTGTGAGTATAAACAGAGCAGACGTTTTAATTTTAGTTCAAAAACTATTGAGCCAAATTGGTGGGTATTTGTCCTTATTCCTTATCATGAAGTTAGATAACACTACTGGCTTTTCATTCACAATTACCTGACAGCAGAAATTTTTAACAATTTTGATATATCAAATATTCAACATGAAGCAAGCTAGTTATTCGAAAATTTATCTCATTTAAAAAAAAATAGATTTCTTATTAATTTTTGCAAAAACTTTTTAGAAAACTAATTGTAGATGTCAATCGCATATTTGTTTACCACATTCATTTTCGATCAAAAATGGTTTTTAGTTGAGCTGGTTAGGATTTGAAAATTTTTTGTGTTGTGTATGTATGTGTGGTAGCAAGCTAATTCCTTTTTGGATTTTCGGTTTGTGAAGTTTGTGTTATATTACTGCAAAAAAACAAGTGCATGAATAGCAAGACTAATGGTGATCGTAGATTCGGCACTTGATGAAAATGGAGAGGAACCTTCCTTTTCGGACAGCGAATATGGCTTTCAGGAGACTGCTACTGATGAAGGTTATACAGTCATTATTATTAATTCCATGGAAATATGTCAGCTTGATTTGTTCATATGCATTTCTGAGAATAATGAGATGTAAGATATCAATAAAGTTATTTTACAAATTTCTATCACATATTATCCTCCATTTCAGATTTCATATTAAGCATAAGCATTCCATTCTGACTTTAAAGAAATTTGAGTTATAAGTGCAATTGTTTAATTTATAAGAGACAGAACATCAACTATCAGGACAGTAAGACCATCATGAGAGGCACAGTAGATATTTTTTAGATCTCGTATCCGATTCATAAAATCAGTAGTAATATTTAAAGGTTTTTCAGATCTTGTTGGAGATATCTTACGCAAGAAACCGTCGTTAAATGAATATGATCACTGTTGCGTAATAATTTCGGGAATACCGATTGTTGGTGAGAATCGTATATCAAAATTGAAAAGTGTTCTAGGGAAAATATTTGGCCGGATTCATAAAGAATTTAAAGACTTTTATCCTGTTGATGAAGCTGGTTGCACAAAAGTATGTTTGCAGTACCCTTGTATGTACTTTAATCAGAAATCTGTTTTGTCTAAAATATCAGTCAAATTCTTGACTGAGCAAATTTCTTTAGTAATATCTTTTTCATGATTCAAGTACATACCTTCTAACATGATGGTGCAAAGTTTCCTTAACTTTTCATTGCATCCTGTTTCAAAATATAAAAGATTTAGTGACGTGGTATTGCTCAGACTCTCATGGTATAGATAGGCTGCGATTAGCTTGTATTAAGAAGTTTTAAGATACACATAAAATTTTCGTAATAAAAAAGCTTCCTTCGATGTGTTCAGGATCAAAACTAGTTTCTTTATTTATTTCGGCTGCTTGGAATTAAAATTACGCTTCAAAAATGAGCTCTTTTTAATCTCATCCTTATTTTGAAGGTCGAAGAGTTTGCAGGGTTATTGCTTTTTGGAATATCCAAGTAGCGAAGTTGCAGAAAATGCTACTGCAATACTTCATGGCTATCTTCTTGACAAAAGTCATACATTCTCAGCGAATCTTTTCAATGACTTGAATAAATTCGAAGAACCAGATAGTAATTGGAAGCCTCCTGAAAAGCGCCCATATAATTACATTGTATGTTTTATCGTCAGTCTTTTTGTGATACAATCTGCTGCATTGGTATGAATTTTACAGGGTGATTTATGGTCGTGGTTACAAAATGATAAATGTTACGATCAGTTTGCAGTTCATTATGAGCGGGATGCACAAAATTCAAAATATGGTTCTGCATCACCTTTTGTTGCAGTTTACGAATATCGTAAAGGACAAGATCCAATTTCAATAACTGAACGACATGTATTATTTGAATTATTTGTATCATCGCTCTTTCTAACATACAAAAAAACCAGTTTGTAATTGCTTTACTAAGTTCTAAAAATATATTTTTTTGTCATTATATACGTTAGTATATCAGAAGCATGTATTTTATATAACTCAGTCTTTTAGTTCTGGACTGAAACAGTATTTAAATGGTCCCCTAGTGGTACATTTTTTGTGAGTGTTCATCGCATGGGCATCGCTTTGTGGGCAGGATCTAATTTCGAGCGATTTGCTCGTTATTCTCACGAGAATGTTGTTATGCTTGATTTTTCTCCTTGTGAAAGGTTTGAATTTTTATGAGAAATTTAAAAGTTGATAGTTGACAATGTAGACGAACATTATTGTATGAGGTCTGTAGCGAAGATTAGCAATTCACTTAAATAGTAATTTACAGTCTATAATGCCTTATGTGATATAGGATACATATGGTGTATCGTGTAGTCGCATCGCAAACCAGGCTCATGTTAGTCCTGGTTTTGATGGAAATTGAATCATGTTTGTTACTGAGTAAGCGAATATGGATCCGGAAGGTAAATAGAGTATGAATTTCGTTCTATGTCTACAGGTTTCTCGTCACTTATTCATTGCCGGAAAATAGATGGGCTGATGATACAAATTCACTGCGTATATTTGACACAATGACCGGAGAAATGAGACGTGGTTTTTCGTTGCTTACGCATGATGGATCTAATGAGATACCTTGCTGGCCATATTTTCAGTATGTAATTACGATATTTGGTTTTATGCAGCGATTCTAGAATGCTCATCTCTATTAAGATTATTATTTTTTCCATAATAACTTCAATTTACTGTTAAGTTTCTGTCTTATTTGAGACAAATTGTCAATAATATTATACATGTAAGTATTCTAAAATCAATGCAGATACTTTATAGGTGGTCAGCAGATGCTCGTACTCTTCGACCTGGTGAAATATATCTAACCTGCCCTGAAGCAAATGGTTATGTGGCTTGTCCAAAGCCTGGTGGTAATGGTATTAATGTTTATGAGACCAAAAACTTTACTTTATTAGACAAGAAACATATCACAATCGAAAGTTTGCGGACTTTTCGATGGTCCCCGACTCGTCATATCATTGCTTATTATGTTGAAGAACGAGTGAGTCTTTATGTCTGTTTTTACCACTCTTTTTTTAATCTTTATTTTTCATTCTAGAGTTTTCTTTCTGATAAAGTGAATTTTTGTCCAGTAAACCTAAAGGTAGTTAAAAACTTTTAGACCTCCAAAAATGCTCCAGCAGAGATTGGTTTAATGGAAATTCCTTCCAAAAAAAAACTTCGTGCGCAGCGAATATTTTCTGTGTCAGAAGCAGAATTATTCTGGAATAAAAGTGGAGACCTATTGGCAGTTCATACCGAACGTTACCAGAAAAAAAATATTAAAACATCTGCGAATGGGATCATAGAGGAAATCAAGTATACGGTATGTAAATTCTATACATCAGATGTTCTTGTTTTAGTGTACATCGTTTGTAATCATTTCGCAATTCCCTTATAGAATCCGACCTCTCATATAGAAATTTTCGATGCGCGAGGAAAAGATATTTCGGTACTTTCGATGCCTCTTCCAGAATCTTTCATAGCATTTGATTGGGAACCATCAGGCATATTTTCACTATTTTCGCATTTATGACTATATTTGTATTCCTCATTTCGTCCTAAATAATATTTGTGTTTTGTATCTAAAAGTGGTCAAAATACAGAAAATGTTATTATTAGTAGTTTTGGAAAATTTCAAGTTGGGGATAAATTGTTTGGGACTTCGAGACTACTAGGTAGTTGATGACTGATTTTAGGAGATAAATTTTGTGTGCTTGTTGGATCACAGCACAAATCAACTCCTCTTTTATATCACTTGGATACAAATAAACACGTACCACAGCTGTTATCAAAGTTTGAGCCAGTAGAACGCTTCAGCGATGTTCTTTGGGCTCCAGCTGGGGGCTGGCTTGTTATTTTTTCCGCAGGCACAACATCCGGCAATATTATGTTTATTGATAGCAATGGTAATCGTCCCACTCGTACCAGTTTAGTCGAATACCCAGGTTTTAACAAGGTCACTTTCATTTTTTTTTGATTTGTCCTGCATGGTTAAAAAGGCAACGTAAGGTGCAAAAAAATCTGTGGACTAATTGGAGAAGATAGATTTCAGGTAAAGTTATCATTTTTAGGGAAGTTGGGATCCCACTGGTCGTTATTTTACAGCTGCATGTACAATTGGAGGAGGAAAAGGTGATACGGGTTACAGAATTTATACTTTCCAAGGAAAAGAACTCTACAGAAAGTCATTAGATCGTTTACTGCAGTTCAAATGGCGACCACGTTTGTCAGTTAAATTACCTGACGAAACTGTCAAAGTAATTTCCTGTGTTCAGAATTTTTTGTTTTTTTGGCAAAAAGAATTTTCGCGAAATTTCAGATACTTTGCTTTTATTTTTCTATTTCAATTTAATTCAAAGCGTCTGCTAACCTTATCAATCTGCAGAAATTTGTTTGCATTGTTTGCCTTCTCAGTGAATTCACTGATTAACTTAGAGTGGGGTTCATTTCTCTTGAAAGTTATAATTCAATTTAATTGTAAGCAGGGAATAGTGTGAGTTGAGAATTATCTCCCAATTATTTTCAGATGATACGAAAGAATTTGAAAACGACATCAGCTAAATTCGAAGAGGAGGATAAATTGGAGCGTGGTAGAGCCACCAAGGTTTTCATCTTTGCAAATTAAATAAAAGAAATCTAATAACATTCAGGTTTGAACAAAAGTTGCATCTGTTCACTTCATCGCGATTTCAGTTTGTACATGTCAATTTATGTTTAGGAAGTAAGTGAAAAGCGTAAAAAAATCATGGCAGATTTTGTGCAAATCCGTAACGCTTGCACAAAGAAATTAGCAGAAGAAGCGGAACTGCGTGCGAAATTAAGAGGTTTTAGTTCACATTATTTTGGCTGCAGTTATGTTATATTTTATGACTCAAAGATATCCACTACAGCATTTCGTATTTTGAAGGAATTATATTTGTGCTTCAGCTTTTGTGATGCTAGCCATTCCAAAATAGTTTCAGGTGGCATAGAGACGATCATAATTGATAATGAAGATCTAGTAGATGAAACAATAACCGTACCTCTAACCACTGAAAAAATCAAGCTACCAGAAATAACAGTACCTGACGAATAACCAAGCGGTGGTCAATTCTACTAAGCTAAGCTACGCACGTACTCAGAAACATTTTTACTTGAGATTAGTTTTTTTCATTTTTTGGAAAATGATTCCGAAATTCCCTGTAGCTCATGTCTTATATTTATTACTTTTCATTGTACTGGTTATGCTCAATATGGCTACAGTGATTGGCCATTATGACCTGTGCATGCCACCGCGTCTAAGACACGCATATTATAGCAGTCTATTGCTTATCTATGTTATGTACTTCATTCTTCTTGCTCCTTCCATAGTACTTTTCTGATGTTTGTTATTATCTGAAAGTTTTCTATCTTGTTCTGCTCCAGATATTGTCGTTCGATGTTCGAGAATTTTGTGTTGGCCTGGATAGTTAAATGAGTTGGTCTAACAACAGGAAATTGAATTTGGAAGTAGTATTACCTCATAAAATAGTAGAAGGGGCTGATTTGAATTATATGTTGCTTTTCATTTTCTAGTACTTTCTAACATCAATTTTTCTGCAGGAGTTTAGCATTAAAACATATGACTTATGAGCACTTAATTCTGCAGCTGTGACTATATATTAACTATTAGTGGTTTAAGTTTGTATCTTAAGTTTAAATAAAAGTTGAGCTGCAACTATTTAATTGACTTTACGAAGATGGAAGTTTGGAAGATACGTAGGTCATTTCTTAACGACCACGAATGAATATGCCCAAGCTGTTTAAAGTTACCATTGATATGCTTGTTCTCAATGAAGTATTTCTATTCATTTCATTGTAAGTAATTGCAGTTATCTCAGAGTTACAGTGAGCTGAGCATATAATGGGGGTGCAGTTTGCAATAAACGGTATGCAAAACTCTGGAACATTCAGAATACATTTTTTTTAAATCCACGGAACGACACAGAGACCAATTTTTCATGAAGGCCATACAATACGAAGTAAGCGGCTCAGCCTTTTCACTACGTTGCACTAATGCAATGGAGATTACATTGTTCACACAATAAGGGAAAATTCATAATCAGACCCTTATGCCAGAGATCGCAGCATTGAGTAGATAGAAAATCAACGACTTATGACTTAGAGAATGACTCAACACGCATAAAGTATTGTTCGACGCAATTCTTCAAATGCACAGCATCCTGAAGTATTATTGCACATGACTGACTTTTATCACAGGATTTAAGCGCTTCATTCATCTCACTTGCCTTACATTATTGCCATTCTTAGATATCGTCACTCATATGATGTTGCTCCTCATTATTTAGTATATGTATAACCTTAAAATGCAACCAGTAATACACCCTCTGCTTGATTCAAATTTTAGAATGTAAAACGCTCACTTCTTTTAGAGCATCGTTATCTTTTTTATCTATCAACCACAGCAACCAGTCGATCTCCGTAACGGGTATTGAGGTGCGTGAATTCTTAGACGTTATATTTCTTGTCTCCAAAATCACCTTTTTTTCAAGTATTTCACAAGCTGACTGGAGTCTATCATACATAATAAGTAAATAAGCGTATTCTGCGGGATACCGAGTCTAAAATACAAAAAAACCGTTAACAGGAGAATTAGTCTAGTAAGTATCAATATTTCTCTGAATATTCCCGTTATTAAAGTATTGCTGCTTCACTACACTATAGGATGTCATAATCCGTAAAAGCTAGCTCATGCCTCATATGTGTTACTAATCCACTGAGGTACATGCCACTGGTGTCCTAACAACACAAGTGTCACTGTCCGGAGTACTTCAGAATCTTGAGCATATCTCATTGCCACTTCCATATAACCTCGCAGAATTGCCCAATGCCGCTCTCGCAAACTAGAATCACTCATATTTATTTAAAATATCGTATTTACAAAACTAAAAGAATCCCAAATCGATCAGTATTATTGTATGCATAAAAGTACCCAATAAGTACCCAGATGTATTTTTTATAAAGCTTTGATTTCTGGCTACCCATCGCGGTTCGCCTTTCGACGGAGAAGCATCCAAATAAATACATTCTTTAGTGACTGCTTGTAATACAGTGGACAGTTTTAGATCAAAAACCCTAAAAGTAGAAGAATACTGGATTACAATAAGTTATGAGGTGTCAAATGTCAGAAACTAGAAAATGGCATTAACAACCAAAATCGTTACAAGCTTATTTCCCACGCACGGTCGAAAAATTCTCTGTTAATTAGTTCGTCGACAACTTGTTCAGGTTTACTGGGAGGTGGTACGAACTTCACTTGTGGATTATTATCACCATCAAACAACTTCAACCGAGCAGATGATAACAGCGCCTCCTAGAAAGCAAACCATTAGAAACTACTATCACTTCCTTATGGTGTTTGCTATACATGACAAGTTATCGCTCACATAAATTTACATGACATTTTAAACCTTTGATATATCGCTCAGATTAAAAATGACAATATTATTCTTGTGTCGTCTACCCAATTCAATATCCTCGTCCTGCTCTTCTATAGTTTCATTGTTTTCTGCTACATTCTCGATGTTATTCTGAAAAAGTGTAGGAAACCAAAACGGTCAGCAATAATACTTTTTGAAATGTAGACTATACGCTCTCAAAACAAGACTTAATTTCCGAAAATTCTCCTGTCTCAAAAATATGACCTAACATGTACCACTGGATCACGGAGAGCAAGAAACTGCTCAGAATCCGGCAGTAATGAAAGCAAACTGGCTACAGCATTAAGTGCTCTGCTGCGACGAAATAATATATCTCGACTTTGCACCTCGGAGTGTAAACGACAGGAGTATTCTAGCATCATGGATGCTGCTGCAAAAACTGTTATTTTATGTTGTTTTCAATAAAAGTAAAAACAAATACTTTTAGAAATGCAAACACTATCCACTTTATTTCTTGTCATCTATTTGCGAAGATCAAATTAATAGCACTATTTAGCATAATTCTATTAAACATGTTTTACCTTGACGGTAGGAGCTTTGCTTTACGCTGTATGCAAAGATTAGTTCATAAAAATAGCCATCATTCTTAACATCTGAAACACGGGCGTTGGCTTTCAATATATCGACCACCTTAAATGATTTATAATTGCATATGCATGAACAACTACTTGCAAACTTTCAACATGAAGGATTTTTCCAATGAAGAAGTAAAATATGATCAATCATTGATAACAAAGCATAGTATAAAAAGACACACTTGCTGATCCATATTTCCATAACAAAAATTTATAATTAATGCATTTTCTTTTTTCTCAATCAACTTCGCTAACAGTTCTCTCAGACACATCCGGCGATTTTCCGGAGCTGGATTAGAAAGTAGAGTATTGAGAGCATTTTCATATCGTTCCGTAATGAGCTCGAATTTAAATACAGAGGTATACAATCCAGGCTAAAATAATGAAAATAGATAAACAAACATAAACCTGATAACATACATGACCTTTCACAAATAGCTGAGAAGAATTACCAAAATTCTGGTATAATCGTCTTGTAATTCTAATGCCTTCTTTAGAGCAAGTCTCGATAAGTTCACCAATTGTTCGTAAAAATCATGATGTTCCATAATCCTCATAACCTCAAGAATTTACAACTTTTTCTCGAAACTTGCTGTAGCAACATAAAACACTCAAGTTACTTCTCCTATCCGCAGAAAAGTCATATGAATGGTGAACTGATCTGAAGATGCTACAATGTTTCAGAATACCTTCAATAAAAATTGCAACTCGTCGAACGGTTCCTCTGGATTATTTCCGTCTGGGGCAAGCACTCTATTTAGTGCTTCATCTTCTCGACTAACCCCTTCTAATGCATCCATGAACGATTGCAACGCCTATAATTACACCTAATGATAATAATATTCCACAAAATTAGGACTACGAAATTAGAAAATGAGAAAACCTTCTCTGGATCTCCTAATCCAGCAAAAGCACGACCTTCATAAAAACGAAAGGCTGTACAAAGCTCACTTATATATGGCTCATTTAATCGACAATACGCCTGAAAAAAACAAAAACTGATTAATGATCCTTCCCTACAAAATCTTCCCATGAAGTATTTTACAAACCTGTAACGCCAAAAACTGCTCATGGTCAGCTAAAAATCTGGCTAACATCATCGCTGAATTTTCGGGCCAAAGAACTACTAGAGAATTAGCAACAACTTTATTGATGAACTGTGTGTAAGAAGACATAGAACGCCTGAGAGGTGATGCAAGGCATTTTATAGTAGGAATTTCAGTCACATCTTCTGAAAATTCCTCATCCTCTTCTGTGTCATCTTCTTCCATAAGTGACTCCTAGCAAATAAGTGAGCAATAAAATATTACACATTTTCATCTTTTCTAAGCAATAGATGTTCTTCTCACAGTTATTTCAAGATTTAAAGATGAGGGAGGAACTTCGTTCACAATTTTGTTACAATATTCTATGTTTCAGTTTCCAACAAAGTGTTGGGGTATTATAAATTTGAACAATAATGTTCATTATCAAAAAAATAAAGAAAAATTAAACCTTATGCTGCATGTAATGGAATACAACTGATAGAGCATTACTGTCAAAAAAGGCGTTTGCTAAATTCATTTCATTACAATCATTCCTGCAATAAGTTCAATCTGCTATACGTACTCTTTTTAAATAATAATGACCTCTTTTATCAGTTCTACTGAATCTAAGTTTGCTATAAATGCTAACAAAAAAACTCGTAGTTTCATTGCTTCTGACAGAATAGTGAACTGTCGATTCATGTCATGGAGTGAATTTTCGTATGCATTTAACACCAGTTCCCACCTGACATTCACTGGTTGGGTTTCCTGAATATTTAGATCAGTAAAAAATAAAGTCTAGAGAAATTGATGTGAATCTATAGATTGAACTTAATCCACCATGTATAATACACAGAGATATTAAATATTTTTCTTACATTTCGGGACGAATATACGACCTTCACATATTCCATTAATGATATAAGACATTGACTAAGAGTTAGTCTATCATCAACCAAGTGTACAAAATAGGTGGCCAATAAGCCCTTTGTAAATGATCCATTAAATGGTAAATCGAAATCAGCTACAAGGAAATGTTAGTGATTTATAGTTTAAATAACAAGTTAAACAAGAAGTTTTAAATTCTTAAATTACGGATTTATTTTTGTAGCTAAAAGTTGAAGCTATGTCAAAGTCTCGTGCTTTTTTAAAAAGTAATAAATTATCTAAACTTCAGATATAAAGCACTTGATAAACGTGGAAAATACGATTTGATGAGCACTGAAGATGATCATTGGCAGTTTAAACAATGAATAACAATTTTATAGTACTCACGCGAAATGCACCAAAAATATGCCAGAACAAAAATGTGCCGCTCATTCCAGTTATTCATTTTAATGAGAGAAATTACACATTAACAAATAACAAACCAGTATAGTCAAAATCATCAACGGGCCTTAACTCAGTGAATTTTTGAATAACACTTTCAAAAATATGCGAAACAGATGAGAATGCATCTAAAAACTGCCAACCTTCCTCTACACTCATTGTACTCGCAACCTACAAAACTCACTACTATTGATGTCACAAGATATAAAAATTCGTTTTAGAAAAAATAAACCAAAAAACATATATATTAATTAAAATAACTAAATGAACCCTTTGGTAAGCAAAGAATAAATAAAATACCAATCCTTTGGTAGCAAATTTTACAGCTGTATCCCAGCATATCTTGACATTTTTTTGATCAATTGCTGACAACAATTCTAAACTTGGAAGTTGTTCATCACTTCGACGGCAGACCGTGAAACGTCCCTGAAATGAACATACTTTGCAAATTAAATTGGTAATAATCATGAAATTTAAGATTATAGATCGTACTGAACTGTCATTATGGTTGATTAGAACTCGTTTAACTTTAAGCGAATGAGCAAAAAACATCTGTATTCTTTATTAGCAAAAGCGCAAACCGATAGTGCGAACATACCTGTTGTACTGTACCATACAAGCCAAGAGCAACAGAATGCCAAAGACCTAATGACAGGCATTCATTTTGTAACAGTTCTTTGCACATCTTCGTAAGTGCCATCCAGAACTGTTCTCTTCTCGTTTCTTTCAGCGATTGAGTTAACAGAAGTGAACAGTCATCTTCCGTACCATAATGCTCATCAAACTGCAATAATGAGTCGCAACCTAATCGTATAGCTTCTACTATATTCTCGATTACGCTATTGTGATGGCATAAAACTCATAAATTCTTGAAAAACTAATCTAGCAATGTCAGTTACTCTGTGCTAAATGTCCCAATGCACCTACTAAATAAGCTACCTATTCTGATATATCTTTTAATAAACTAAGACAAAAAATTTACCTGCTCTGACTCACAGTAATTTTCTACAGCTGTTCGCAAAATTTTCCAATCTCGCTTAGCTTCGAAAAGCTTCCAATTGAAAATTCCTTTTTTGCACACCAGCTGCCAGTTATCATATCTCATTAGGATTACAATTTAATACATAAAGAAAAAAAATAAGATAACATTATTTGCTAACATAACCTGCATCCTAGTCGCTTCTACATATAAAACTAGAAAGGATATATACAAAATTTACTGGAACCATTTTAAACTTGACTGTTTTTCGGTCTAAAAATACCTGAAGTGAGCGTAAAACGACGCTAAACGGATATGTGTTTGGATCAAATATATGTGACTTTTGCATGGAAAGAGACTCCTGAGGCGTAGCTTGCAAAACACTAACTTTTGGATTGCTTCGGTGAGGTTCATTTACTTCCCTCCACGGAATTAAAATAACACCTTTTGAGCTAAACTTGATACCATTTTAATCTGTTAAAATATCCTACATTTTCTCAAATTGTGAGCAAATTAAATGCACAATCAAATTAGTAGAATACAAATTCGCATATGAAACACATAATAGTGAAAATTTTGCACTAAAAGTTCAGAAAGCATTGAAAATCCTTTTTGCAAAACTGACCAATTAATAGTGAGAGCACGCAAAGAATACTGAATGCCTTCAGGAAGTTTACATAAGCATATGATATCCATAATACCTTCCTTGACTCCACAAATGAAATCTACCACTCCTTCCTGGAAACAATTTGAAGTTGAACTTGCATTTAAGAGATGTAAATCATACTTTACATACTCTTTTTTGAAGTTTTTCTCATTATCATTGTTTTGCACATGAAGAAAATTAAGCTTACGTACATATGTCTTGTAGGTGCTTATTAATGAAAAGTATCCAGTGCGTTCAGGCAGCAAATATAAATCAATTTTTCCAACCATAAACTGAAATAAGACCACTATTTAATGAATCCAGTGTATACCTTCATTTGCTATCAATTTCAAGTAATTTGCACTTTTTGATTGCCACCGATTTTAGAGATCATTATTTTGTATCTAAATTAAAAACGACTTACCATACATTCCTTATCAATTTGAAAAAAAATGACCACAAAGTAATAGTTTTCATCTGAACAAATCTTCACCATTTCTGCAGACACTGAAAAAAAATAAAAAAATCGTATTATCGGGACGTCACTTTTCATTAAAAAGTTATGAACCGAACTATTTGCCTACAATGTCTTGACAATAAACCTTGCTGTCCGTCACCACAACTGCTATTTGCTACCAACATTTCGAACAGATTTACATCATATTCTTTTTTTCCATCCTGTAAATCACTCTCTCTACTTTAAGACCTGACTTACTGCTACATGCACTTAGATTGTTGAAATTCTTTATATCTTCAAGTTGAATGAAATATTCTTGAAAATGGAGCTGATATATAGTATATTTCTAAATTATGGAAGTAAAAAATGCATTCTTCCTAAGTTCCTGGAAAATGAACGAACTGTATACACATGAAGTCGTTTATCACCGAAAAGTACATAGAAGTGAATTTCGTCGTAAACGCAACACGAAGCTAAACTAACAACCAAACTTAGCTGATGAGTTGCTTTCATGACGCGATGCAGTAATCCTTCACCTCTTATAACTTTCTCACGGCCTTTGACAAGTTTCACTTCTAGGATATTTTAAAATTAAATAAATCTAAGTCTGTAATTTATAAAAATGAATTTTGATTACTTAGCAAATAATTTAATATCAACGATTTCAAAGCAGAGTGCATATAACTTACAGAATTTCATAGCATAAAAAAATACAAACTTTCAGTGCCACTTCCCGCCGCATATCGCATTTGTACAAGAAAAAGCTGTCCATCAGTTGTAGAGAATAGAGCGATTGTTTCATCACTAGCAGTATGGACAATACTCGCACGACAAGCAGATCTTGATGTCGTATATTCATAGCAATCATAATTATACAGAAAGTTACGATTTTCGGAAAGTTTCAAAACACTTTCACTCTAAAAACTTTTAATTCAGTTTAAAAGCTCCTTATAAATATCATAGAATGCATAAATTTTCCTGAATGAACACAATACCAACATCCGCCTAGTAACATTTATCTCCTTTCTAATTTCGATATTTTCTACCAACCCTTTCAACTGAATAAAATAATGATCAAGGTATAAAATTATACAGTGACAAATATGAAACACTTAACCAAGTTCCTCTCATGCGTTTCAATTTCAAACCCAAAAACGAATCGATAAAGGGCAATTTGTGTCGGTATTAATAATACTAATTTATTCTTTACGTAAGCGAAGTGAGTTCCAGGAATAACGAAAGAAGGAGAAAAGTTGAAACGCAAAGAACCAAAAGGAAGAGAACTGATGGTGCTTCGTTCTTCGACCAGCAGACATGATCGATATGATCGCCTGGAAAATACAATATTATATGAATGAACTATTTCACTAATAATTGCTCACAACATGATTCCTGCTCCAGGTCTGAAATGCAATGAATTTTAATCAATGAATTTTAATCGTAACCCACTAGTAAAAACTTGTAACAGATCTTAATTACTTAATTACCGATTTAAAGATAATTCATTCAAGTAAATAAAAAAAAAGGACTGACCAAATGATGAAACGATTCATTGCAAACGGAACATCATGAAAATCATATGAGCCAACTGCAGGCTCAACTTCTTCAGTGTTCAACTTAAGCAATTCATCGCCTGTTTATTCAATAACAGTTGAAAAAGCAGTCAAGTTATTGAAGCAGATTTGAAATATGCCTACTTTATTTCTCTTCGATATTTTTCTGTGTCATAACATACTATTACACAATACTAGTGTGTTAACAAATGATCACTGTTATAAAGTGTTGCGTGCTATAAGGTGTTAAAAAAATGAGGCGAAGGAAATGTATAAACTGTACATGGAATCCGAATGACATGCACTGGTTCTGAAGTGTAAGTATCAGCGAACACAAGCTCTTCTTCCTTCGCAAAATCTGCCATTTCCGGAAAAGCTGAATAGACATAGTACTATAAGAATGTATACAGTAACAGCAATAAAAAACTAAGCGAAGAATTTATTTAAATTTGAGCTGAAAGTAATAGGTATTGCTAGAAATTGAATCGTGGTTTGCACAAGATGATAAGCCCGGCAAGGATTGATAAACCACCTGTTTCACTACGAAACTTTAACATCTCACTATATAAATCACTTCTTTGAATGAATTTTTTTAGCAGCTAAAGACTAAAATATTAGATGTTAGTTGAACAGACAAGTCGTGATATGATTGCTGACTATGACTGTCATTAACACTAAATCACAGTATCTTTAAACAAATCACTATGGTGGCATAATTTATCAGCTAATTATATCATTCAACTTAACAAACTAAGCCCACAGATTATATTTTTCTTTAATCTACTACTCACTTAATTTACAGACTAAATAAATATCTGTAATACTATGCTTTTCTAAGGTCACTCAGTCACATTACTAAACCAAACATTGATACTAGTCATACTTTGCCAGTAAAATCTTGAGTAACTTGCTAGAATATGATGCTACTGTTATGGTCTATCCATTATATTGCTACAACTTACCACTCAATTTAACATATGCCAGACGTCGTTCTAGCTCATCCAAATATAAGTAAGTATGAGTCATTTTCAGAATATCTAACTGTAATGCTTGTCTCTAATTCTATTCTGAATCTGAAATAACTGACTATGTGACATTTTGCTAGCTTGTATTTGAGAAAGCAAGAAAAATATTTTTTTATATTACGTGTACTTTAAAAATATTTTTGTACTTTTTTTTTTCACGCTACAATAGTAGTATATATTTAGAAATATGTTGAGCAAATAAACCAAAATTTTTGTCTACTTTCTTGAATTATTTCTGTTCATTTTTCATTATGAATTTCCATTAATAATTTTGACAATATATTTGATACTGATACTTAAAGGTATGTATAACGGTACACTTGATAATATAGATTAGTGCTTTTACAGAATTCTGCTCATCACATAGCAGAAATACGTCAAATTATAAAAACTAATATATGTTTTAGGATTTTTTAAGTGCATATTAGTGCAAGATTAATTTTTGAAAAGCAAGCATTGCACAAATCTTTATTTTACTTACTTTATATCAAAACAAATACATTGAACTATAAACGAAAAGCTAATCGAATTGCTTACTGTCAATAGCAATTATGCATATAAGAGCAATAGTAGGAAATAAACAATTAAATATTAAACGTGGATTCTCTCAACGTGTCAAAAAATGGCATAGTAATTAGAAAGATGTGCGTATACTTGTCCCGCATTTTTCGAATTTTCTAGACATTGCAAAGAGCGTGGATTGTTGTTTTCTTGAATAAATTTATTTTTAGCGATAACAATACGATATCTCTGCAAGTCAGTGACATGTTTGTAAGTATGAAGTAATGCTTTTCATGTACTACTGCATGATATCAGCCTATAAATCAAGCCTTATTCCAAACCTGCATTTCTTTTGTCTATGACAAATTAAATTATAAACTTTGTCACACTAATAATTTATCACATATTTGATATTCATTTATTACAGTCTGCGTTGAGTCAATGTTTGCTTAAAATCATTTTGAAAAAAAAAAAGTGTTCGCTAATAAATTATATAATATTTGCGATGTTTTTAAATCAATTTTAACAAATTTGTGCCAGAAAGTAAACATTATGCTGAACAAATGGGTAAACTGATTAAAAAAGATCGCTTAGTGCTTCATCTAGCAATTGTTATTTTTCAAAGTTATCTACCTGAGGCCGGTCAATTTTCGTGTTTCTTTGTATTTTTGGTACCTATCGTTGGTCTCACTCCGGAAGCGATCGCCATATTTATTGATAAAGTGATATGGTTTCGGTAGTGCATTCTGCGCATATTAAAGCCTCATTAGGTTCTATCTAGTCAAAGAGCAGTAATAAAATTACTTATTTTTTTTACTAATTATTGCAATAATTTTAAATGCATAACTGTGTACTACTTCTAAATCTGTCAAATGACTACGCAAAAAATACATTGTTTTTCCTTAAAAGAGAAAGGTTCTACACTATAGCAATAATAGCGCAAATATTTTTTCGTCATCAATTAATTATTTCCAAAATACTTAATTAGAATCCTACTCTCAAGTGATAAGTGATAAGTGATAAGTGGTAATAATGCATCAATCCACTTTTTCTGCTAGTTATTATTTATTTATGTACATTCTACATATAATATCTGGTATTTTGATCCTTAACATTGTATACGCCTGCATTATTTATTATTAAAATTCTGTGAATTATATTTGGCTAACATATATAGTAGTACCATGAGTGCACTATAGCATTACTGTTATTTACTATAAAATACACCATCATTATGATAAAAATGTCAAAATGATTGTCTTAATTGTCAGATTCAAACAATATTATCTTCATGACTCTACCAATAGTGTGTAATTTGAATCGTAATCGAGAGTATCGTGAGAGCTTTCTGTCCATCACAGTAATTACAAATATACTGACAATTACTTTAAACTTTTTACTTTTCATATATCTATGCTAGCTTAATCCAATAACTTTGATAAAAAAATTTTGAGAACACACAAAATTATCTAAAGTAATTTCACCTAATACCAATTAGATTATTTATGATATACTTACAATACTGACTATTTGAACCAATTTTCATTACAAACGCTAGACGCCAACTTTTAGTTTTAACTATTTCACTAGGATATCAAGTTTAATTTTGTGTTACCGAAAATTTGAGAAGCTAATTTTCATAGCGAAACTAAATCATAAGGACCGGTCGAAGTGATTAAAACTGTGAAGAGCTATCTCCACAAATCGTCAAAAATTACGTCTTAAAATTAAGGTCATTTCTCTATGTCGTAGTTTACACTCGCAGTTTTTTAAAATTGTCTTGGAGTACTGAGAAAGACTCAACTACGTGGTACATAGCTAGAAAGCAATTGTGCGGTAAACTTTTCAATTTAATTCACTGTCATTGATTAGTCCGAGAAAAATGCCGATGAGTACCGTAGCATAGTGCTTTCATTAATTTAAGTTTTTTTTTTTTTCCAAGTGACAAGGCGTCATCTTAATTTTGAGGTAGATTTTTTACTCTTCTGCGTATGCTTACTGGATTCATAACGTGTAATTAACACTCATTTTGGGACTTCAAAAATTGCGCGATTCTGAAAATACTTTTTTCATTTCTGTAGTTGCTTTAGATATTTCGTGTAGAAAAGCAATATGAAATCGTTCTTAGAAAAAATCTTTATCTCTTGTACTTGAAATAATCATCATGCACAGCAAACTGGGGACATCAGAAACAAGTTCTAAGCGATCGATAAGTGTGTGTCCAACATTTATAGATTCTTGGTAAATTCTCGAAATTTTGAGTGTTTGCCTTCATTAAAAAAGCCAATAGATTCATCGTTCATTTCAAAAACCATGGTTTGTGAATAGTACAATGCATTGGTTGTTAATTTCAGAAATTTAGAAAGTTATAATACGATCTTTACCATTAACCGTTAACACCGTATTGTAGATACATCACCTGGAAATTGATAGCGCCAACTCTCCTGACGAGGATTTGTTACCTCGCAAGGTTACTCTCAGTTTTTTTTAGTATTGTTTAAAATGTAGGAATTGTGTTACTTATTGTCATGAGTGGTTTGTTCGTTTCTAACTAATATAGAATAATAAAGGACTGTTGGGATGAATGATTTGGTGTTTTTTTTTTACAGTACATAAACAAGAACGGTACATAAGCTATGTAATTTTCATTTAGTATAGATATTACGACTTAACAGTGTATACTTCTCAACTTGAAGATCTTATTGAGTCGTTGATAGAATTTATAATTGAGTTGCTATTTTACATTTATTTACTAACTTCGTATTCAAACTCTTATGCTTGGATTTGGATTCACGTGTAATGAAGTTGTGCTTGATAAAAATATGTGGTTTTTTCTTAAAGCCTTTTGGCTGAAAAAGAAATATTGAAATTGAAGATATGATCAAGCAAGTTATCTGCTTTTCAAGGTAGAGGAGAGGCGAATGGTAAGAGGGACTCAAGTCTTTGGGTTATTTTTGAATAGACGAACACGTCGATCTCGTGATGGAGCAACTATGGGTTGCGGTGATGCTAGTGTTTACCATGCAGTTATTGTTATTTTCCTGGAATATTTCGCCTGGGGTTTACTTACTGTCCCAGTTATCAATGTTCGTTTCATTTCATTTACAGTCAGAATAAGAAACGACTTTATAGTTATGTGATTTCAAGTTAGCGATATTTTTGATCGAAAAGTATCTATTGTACTTTTTGTAAGAAAGCTCGAATGTTTAATTCTAAAGTCCTGAGAATATTTTTAGGTACTAGCCGAAACATTTCCAACAAACAAGTTTTTAATGAATGGTCTTATTCTTGGCGTGAAAGGTTTTCTTTCGTTTTTAAGTGCCCCGTTGCTTGGTGCAGTATCGGATAAGTGGGGACGCAAGTCGTTTTTGCTGCTTACCGTATTTTTCACCTGCGTACCTATACCATGCCTCAAAATCAGTCCTTGGTTGGTTGCCATATATTATTACTGTTATAGAAGACTTAAGTTCTGAATATGGATTTGGTCGAATTCGTTCAAAAAAAGGTGGAATGATTGAAAAAGCCTTTTTCAAAATTCATGAATTTTTTTATATAATTATTATTGCCTAAACTCATATGACTTAAATGCTTTCTTCAGGTGGTATTTTGCTCTTTTTTCAATCAGTGGTTTATTTTCGGTAACGTTCAGTGTTGTGCTCGCTTATGTAGCGGATGTCACTGATAAAGCAGACCGCTCTACAGCTTATGGTCTCATTTCTGCTACATTTGCGGCTTCATTGGTTACATCTCCCGCTCTTGGGGCATGGATTTCAGATTCGTGGGGTGATGACAATGTCGTTTTTCTTGTGAGTTTATGATGTAATTTGCGGGATAGTAATTTGTTTAGTTAAACATCATGAATGAGTGACATAAGGTTATTTCGGTTCTATTTACCGCGGTACTGAATATTAGTTATAGGCTACACTGATTGCGAGTTTGGATGTCTTATTCATATTATTGGCAGTACCAGAATCATTACCTGGTCGTAATCGTCATAATGCTGAAAAACTTTCTTGGCAAGCAGCTGATCCATTTGCTGCATTGCGTATTGTTTGGGAAGATCGCTTAGTGCTTCATCTAGCAACTGTTGTTTTTTTAAGTTATCTACCTGAGGCGGGTCAATTTTCTTGTTTCTTCGTATTTTTGAAACTTGTCGTTGGTTTCACTCCGGAAGCAGTCGCCATCTTTATTGGTAAGTTAATATGATTTCTTGTATTGCATTTTGTGCATATTAAAGCCTCATCAGATTCTCTTTAATCAAATAGTACTTTATTAATGCGTCAGAATGAGTTTTTGTATTTATTATCGAAAATATTTTGTAATAGTTACTTTCTAAACAAAATTATTGTTGATTCATAAATATGTATTACATGAATTTTCTATATTCTAAAGTGTTTCCAATTTTAGGACTTGTAGGAATATTATCTGTTTTTGCTCAGACTGGCATACTCCTTCTTCTTACTAGTACTTTCGGAACAAAACATACAATAACTCTTGGCCTTTGTTTTCAGTTTGCTCAATTACTGTGGTAAATTTAAGAAATCCAATTTTTTTCGTTCTCTGGCACAAAATTTGTACATGGATCATATAGTTCCGTGTTTTAGGTATGGTTTAGGTACCAAATACTGGATGATGTGGGCGGCAGGCATACTGGCAGCAATGAGTCATTTAATTTATCCATCCGTTAGTGCATTTGTAAGTATACATAGTGATCGTGATAAGCAAGGGACTGTGCAGGGTGTTATCACTGGTATACGTGGTTTATGTCAAGGTAATAAATTTCATAGCTTTCGGCACTTTATTGTATATTACATTTTATGTACATTCTTTTGAAATCTTGATTTCGCAAGTACTTTTTTAGCTTTTTCCATAAGTTGATGAAAAGTGGGCTTTTTTAATCTTGTTTTGAAGGTTTGGGTCCAGCTCTATTTGGCTTCATATTTTACTTGTTTGATATGGATTTAAATGTAGACAATGATGACACTGGTCACATCGGAATAGCTCCTTTTCCGGCACCTCGTATACGAGCTCAGCTTATCGGAGTCATTTCACCACGTCGAAATGTTACTTCAATGGGAAAACCATCTTTCAATTGGGTTACTTATTTTTACACATATGCGAGTTGTAGAGCTTATGAAAATTTTTCATTTCAAATAACTTTTTATGACGTTGAAATAAATTTCAGAAAGTAATCCCAGGTCCGCCATTCTTATTTGGATCACTGATGGTTCTTTTAGCCCTTTTTGTAAATTCCTCTTTACCAAAAGTACCGTTAGTAAATACACGATTCTTTCGTCGTCCAAGCGCTTCACATAGCCGGCAGTCATCAGATGATGCAGCTCGTTTACTTAAGGGATAATTCTTTGGCATAATATTGCAACAGGTTGTAACTCGATTGTATTCATTGCAAAAGAAGATCAAGCAATATTAATTTGGCGATTTGTTTGGAATTAGGAAACCTATATTTCTGTTGTAATTACAGAGCTCTTAGATTTGTTTTGAAACATCGATAAGAAAAGAAACACATGCATTATAATTTTTCAGGAAATGTTTAAGCAGATTTGATTTGCTGTCAGCGAAGCAAATTTTTCTGGAATAATATGTGAGATTAATGTTTTCGATCTCTTATTGTTGTGATATTGGTTAGTGTCCATCTCCATGGTACCTCCAGAGCTACAAATACATTTATCAAAATGGATGCTGATAAAAAAGTAATTCACCTTCATTTTTATAATCTGAAATATGTACTTATAGGTGTAGTGTATATGTGAATATTGACTATCGCTTTTAGTTCATTTAGGCTGGGAAGTTGCAAAATGTTATTTTACTGATCTTATATTCTGTGTTTTCACTCTTTCTTTGTCACTTGTTGAAAACTGTATGATGAGATCGAATGTTATCTTATTTTTTATATATACTTCAAAATATCAGATATATTTTCATTGCGAACCTATTTCTGTTTGAATTTCATGAAAATTGATATTTAAGAATTGTTTTTGAATAGTTTGCTGATTTTTCGCATATCCTTTTGTATATTTTAGTATTGTAGCTGTAGTTGCTTCTTGGTAGTTTATTATATTTTGCATTTTACTGTATGTAGTTTGTATTTTAAGATTAATTTAGGAAGAAATGTTCAAAAATGTCTATATCTTCTCAGAACATGCTGAACATGAGTTCAAGTTGACATCTTTTGAAATTGTAATATTTCTGTTCAGATGTAGAAAGCGAATACATGATTGGGATGCGCTACTGATCTGTGAATGAATGTTTCAAGATTTTAATATTTGTCCGTCGACTTTTCTGTGCTTTGAATATGTTGAAATAAGAAATCGATAAAGTTGTTTGGTCGGATTTACTTTTAGTATGTGATGTGGTTTTCACTGTAGACTTACCGATCATAAAATCTGATGAATTTATGTGGAGGGACTATGTAATGTTTGTCGGGTAAGGTACTTCGCATGGCGAAGTGGAAGTTGTTATTAATTTTGGTTTAGATATTGGCGTTATGTTTTATTCATAATTCTGAGTTGTTGCACAATGCATATCGCTTATAAGATAGCTTATGGTTATATTGTCGTAGTCCAAAACTTTTCGCTATAATTGGATTTGTAGATTTCTAGCTTAAGGCAATATCTCACAATTGTTTTATCATTTTTGTGGAAAATGAAACGGAAGTGCGATGGACTAGAACAAGCTCATCACAAGTTCGAAAAGGTATCACTATTGTGTATGCTGGTGGATGAATATTGTAAGGAAATCAAGCTAACAGAGGTAAGAAGGCTTGAAATGGAGGTTTTCGCTCAGTCGGTCAAAAATGCCATTTATGCAGCAAAAGAAAGTGGAGTTGTTGACAAGGTGAGTATTTTCTTGCAAAATGTGAGAGGTTTGTGATGATTGTTTTTAAGATGTCTGATTTATGAAATAAAAGTCTTAAATGATACATTTGTCTGTTAAATGGAGTTCAGATATTTCAGATGAAAGACCCGCAGCAAATTTATGCGAACAATATTCATTTTCCATTGTCATTACCTTTTGGACTTGATTATCGAACGGTCTTGTCGTCTCACAAGTATTGTTGGGTAGAACCAGTCAAGATCGATATCCTAGGTTGCTGGCATGCTGGTTATCAAACAAAAGATGATTCATTTTTGGACGTCATCGTAATCATTCCCAAGGTTATTCTCATAGTTTCTTTTTAAGATTATATATTTTTACTCAGCTTTTTTTTGTTTCAGAATTACTTTAATTCTCGTGATTACCTGAATTTCGCATATTTCGTGAAGCGTGCTCATTACATTTGTATGGTCGCTCTAATTTTGGTAGATGCAGGTTTTTCGGTAAAATTCGGCCTGGATCATGATGATAAATTAAAGCCACTTTTGTTCGTTTCCAGTAAAAATGGTAATATATATAAATTCACCATCAGGTTATCAGATTTTTAAAAAAAAACAAAGACAACTAGTCTGCACAAAGAATTTTCAGTTGACGATAAGGAACTTTATGTTGTCTAGTAAATAAAAGTAGTTTTGTTGTAGGGTACAATGATGCAGAAGTTGTGCGAATTCATTTTGCACCTCCACGTAATTTCGCTAAACTCTCTCGATTCCGTCCAGAAAATAATAATTTAAGACCGCTTTTTTGCTCACCTCATTTTACAAGTCTTGGTCAGTGGCTACTATTTGTATAGTAGAAAAATTTCTTGGTAGTACATAATATCAGTTAAAAATGGGAATGATCCAGTGCGGTTCTTTGATGTCTTTTTGTTATAGCATTACATTTTTTTCATTATGTTAGTCAGATATCGATTGCTTATTATAATATTCATCTTCGGTAATCATTCGTCTATGCTTGCAGGTATCGGTATTCCAACACCGGTTTATAATTCCAAAATAGCCATAGAAATGTTACGTCAGGAAATTGAATGTATAATTGAAGCTTTTTTTCGGGAGAATCAGAATTTTGTGAAAGCTTTTATTATGATCCGGTCATGGATGTTTCGAAGAAATTTTATTCAGGTAATGCACCTGAATAAGTAGCAAAATTTTTCTTCAGTATTTTGTTAAAACATTATGGCTCATTTTTTCCTGTTTTCACTGATTTCTAAATCATGACAATACTTTAGTTCATTGTTAGTTTTTATGTATCGCAGTAATCGCTCTTTAAGTCTACTGCTTCTCCTTGTAGACAAAAAGTGATGCGCAAAAACTATTTTGAGAGTAAGATTAAAGTAATATCTTAAAAGAATGCGATAGTTTCTACAAAATCTCTTAAATTTGCAGCGAATTGATGGTTTTACGGATTTGTTGCTAGCGGCATGGTTCATTTTTATCCACAATAAGGGGAATTTCTTCGCTCAAACTTCTGTTTTTGACATTATCGTGACGTTTTTTTCTTCTCTCGGTAAACATAGATTTTTTAGGTTACTAGCGATTATTATTTTTCTGTTGATAGCGTTGTCTTTTTAAAATACTGGCAGCATATTTGAAGATTATTTTAATGCAAGTTTTATTTCGTTGAGTTTCAGTTGCTACAAATTGGAAAGAGGCTCATTTGGGCCTTTGTAATAATGATGCATTACATGCACAATTTTCTGCCCATTTCGATTTTGTTTTTCTCGACCACACAGGATATATTAATTTGGCTGCATCCGTGAGCATTGTTGCTTGGGAACAAATTCAAGCTGCTGCGGCAGATGTTATTACGAAAATAAATACTTTCAGCGAATTTGATCACATTTTTGTGGAAAATAGCCCCTTTTTTCCGAGTTTTGATCAGTATATCAGGTGCATCATTCTGAATGTCTCGTTTTCGCTAGTCTTTTTTTTAAGATATAAAACTGACAAATGTTTTTTTCAGGATAAGTCTAACGCAGTCAAACTTGCAAAATATCTTTCATAAAATGTATAGTGCAGAGTGTGTTAGTACCTGCAATGATTTGTCACTAATTTTGAGACGCAAATTGACTCCAATGTTGAAAGAGGGTTTATCAGGCAGAATTTCAGATTTCGATTTCGATTTTTATGTAGATCACGAGTCAGTGGTGAGTCTAATTATTTGTATGTAATGAAAATCACTTTTTCTGTCAGTATTCTTGTTTTTAGAAAAAAGAGATTTAGTTGCTTTGTAAAACTTTTCTTTCAGAAAAACTGCATTGCTTTGTTAGGGCAGTGATTCTGTGTTATGTGCATTGTACCAAAGTCGCTCTTAATTTCTATATCTCAACAGAGTCTCTGATTTTAGTGGGACGTTTTTGAACAACAAAAGCATACTTCTGATAGACTAAGTCTGCTAATTGGATTTCGTCTTTCCTCAAAATGGGATAACCTACTCACTCGTGGTCCTCCCGCAAAATCACCAGAAGCGGTTCATTTCCGTGAATTTTGGGGTGAAGTCTGTGAACTACGTAGATTTCCAGATAATTCTATTTGCGAAGCAGTTGTTTGGAATGCTCCTAATGTGATTGTTCGTATCTGCCATCACATTCTTCAAAGGCCGGTTTTTTCTTTTTTCGTTTGTTTTTTCAATTTTCTTTTCTTGCTTTCTATATTTTCTTTTATTTTGCCGGATACGAGTTAATAAACTTAATACTAATATTCAGTTCGGGATATAGAATAAAACTTTGTAAAACTTTTTTTTTCTGATGAAGGAGGAAAAAAAGAGTTTTCTCAATAATAGTCCAATATGATTTTAGACATTTTAATTTCGAACCAGTTAATGTAGAAGAACGAACACTTGATATAAATATGATGTTACCTCATGCAGTTGAGAGCTATAATATAATTGGAAGGGCATATGATAAATTATCTCAGATGCTTCGAATGGTTCAAGATTTACCCTTGTGTATTACGAATATTCATCCTATATCACATTACTTGAGGCGAACTGCGGTATGATTCCATTACTTATCATTTGCAATTTCGCTGTTGTCGGAGAATATCATTTATAAGTAGAATACATACGTCTCCAACACATCTATATCGGTCCTGCACAAGAAGTTTTAAGTGTATAAATATATGGTTCTGAAATGCTATAAGCATCTTATTTTTACTTTGTTTCATGCATCATAATATTTGTGACCGCTCTGGAAGTATTAAAACTAGTGTCCCGTAATTATGTTTCTTTAACACATAGCTTTATAATCACTATTCTGTTTTTCATTTGAAGATTACAGCTTGCTGCTATTAAAGCATGATGTAATGCTTAAATAATATATTTTTTAGCCTTTCGCACCGTTACCTACAAATGTTGTGATTGATAAGCAGATGTCCACCATTAAAAATTCGATATCATTTCCATTGCCAGGGATGTCACCGCCGTACGTACCAACCGTAAAAGGTTTTTAATTGATTTTCTTCATTACTTTTAGCTATTTGTTAGTTTAGTACTTTTTGTAGAATGTTGATCAGAACCAGATACTATCGTCGTAATCATCCTGAAGGTAATTGGCAGTCTATCCTGAATAAATATACTTTTTTGTTCTTCAGTAGTGCTTTCAGTTCAAGTAACAATGGAACAGAGTGGGAAATGGGGCGATGATTTGGGAGCTATCGGTCGACTGAAGACTGCATTTTATATAGAACTGTCGAAAATACTGAATGAAAAACATTCAGTACAAGCTGTTCCTTTTGATGATTGTTTGATTATTCATTTTGTGAGTTCCGTTTCATTACTAAAGTATTCTAAGCCTTATTAAGAAAGAATTTTTTCCTAGACTTAATAATTTAGCGTGTCTATTGTTACTGCCTAAACAACATTTGTTTTTCCAGGATGCAGTGGTATTCCATTTAGTAATAGCTTATCCAAAAGAAGTACAAATTATGAGAAGACTAAATGGTGGGAAAACTGGTATTCCTAAAGATAGTTCAGAATCGAAGTTGAAGGAACTCGAAGTTATATTGGAGCCGCAACTTACTGCGTTTCTACACAGGTTGCATTTTATTTTATTTTAATGAGGTGAAATTCATTTGCAGAAATTGCGTCAAAATTTAAGATCACATTTATTATCTGTAAATATTTTGTTACTTATGAAATTCGAAGCAAAATTGTCATCTTTTTCTTTCTTAAGTGTTTGGCAATTGAGATGATCTGCATCTTTTAAAAAGTATTTTTACAGTGTTAGTCAACAATTTAATGCATTCTCAGACACCTGTCGTCTAGCGAAATATTGGTTATCATCGCACGCACTCTCCGATTACCTAAACGGAATGATTGTGGAAACTCTTGTTGCTTCAGTATTCTTGAAACCGTACTCATTACAGTCACCAAAGTTCGATTTTATTTCATCTATTTATCATTAGTTTCCGTGCAGTATGTTCAGAGAATTAGGACACATTACACTTTTCATTCATCAAAGATATTTTGCCTCGGTTTCTGTGTCAAAAATGTTGCTACATTGTCTTTCATGTATTTCTCAATTTTTTAGGACGGCATTTATTGCATTTCATCATTTCCTTATGCTACTTTACAAACATAATTGGCTCATGAAACCATTACTTGTTGATTTCAGCAACGAGTGGACAGGTTCCTTTCAGTGTTTGCATTTGTATCGTCTTTTATCTTTTCAGTAATTCCTGATTAATTTAAAAGTAATACTGATTTTAAGAGATTTTTAGAGATCGATGAAGATGAGATGGAAAAGGATTTCATCAAGTTGAGACCAGTGCTGCCGGCTATGGTAGTATGTACGCCAGTTGATAAGAGCGGTTGCCGGTAAGTCAGTAGGATTATTTCAGTATTTTAATTGCTCAAGTTTAAATAAATTATGCTCCGTTGAACTGCCCTCTTTAGTGTATACTTCAATAGGGTTTCAGATTCCTTAATTAACATGGTAAATAAAAATCGTTATATTGCCTTTATCAAAATTTAAAAATATATAAACTTGCATTGCTCTGCTAACTCTTTAATATCGATGTTTTTCAGATGGACGAGTGATCAACCACAACCACTAATTCTAAAACGAATTATCGCTCTTGCTAAATCAGCATCAGTTTTCATCAAGCAACACGTCATGAGTCCTGTACCCTGGGATTTAAAAGTTATTAATGCAGTTTATTTTGTTGACAGTGTTACTCATAAGTTTACATGCAGTTGCAAAAAAAGTTTTTTGTTTTCAAATCTAGTAGAAATTTGTATTTACAATAACTCCCGCGACGTGTAAATTATTATTTTTCAATTTCTCGATAAAAATTCAGGAATTTTTTTTGGGAAGTAAAAATGAACCAGTATTTACTGGATTCTATTTAGAATTAGAATATAAAAAGTGGTGATTCACTCGAAAAATAAGTCTTTTTATTGGCAGGGTATATTCACTACTGACGTTTCAACATTGTACGACGTTATTATTAATATCAAAAAGCAGCATATGGTAAGACGAAGAGTATTTCGTGGTAAGGGGATGGAGGGGGTATTGCCAGTTATTGATTATGATCCAGTCAAAAAATATGTGGAGCAGTTGCGACAGAACTTTTCTTCTGTTGCCTTGTTTTTTTATGACAAATATATTGGTGATATGATTGGTGTTGTATGGAAACCGTCCTTTATGGTTCCATCAGACGTCAGGGTATGTTTCGTAGATTTGTTTCGTTTAATTACATTTTCAGAATTATGGAATTCATTTGATCTATGGAGCTAATACAGCAGTTTTTGAGTCAATAAATTGGTTTAGAATTTGATTTGGAGCGAGAAAATAATTAACTGTATTTGTTTGTATTAAAATATTCCAAACTCGTAATTAGATCTAAGAAATGGAAAAGGTAAACCTAAACAGAATGCTTGTAAAATAATTTGATAAATTAAACAGCCGTTACTGAAGCAAGTTTTAACTATCAAAAAGCGCACAAAAGAAGATAGCGAGCTGAATTTAAATTTCTTAAAATTCGTGTAGTACAACCAGTAAACTTAAGTGGCTTTGGATATGATTTTGTGTAGTTACAGTCGTGAAATTTTCAAAATTGTTCGTTCTAATAGTAATGAATGTTGACAAAAACATTGCTGAAGTCATGGCCTTCTATGTTTGTTCCAAAATTTGAAGATGTATCTACTTGACGCTAATTCGATTGTAATTGTATCGCAAAAAGTAATGACAGTGACTAAGCTTGTTCAGAAGCGAGATCTTTAGAATAAGATTGTCTAGTATATTGTAGCGAAAGATTTAATTAAGTTGATACAAGTATATCAAGAAAAACCATCATTTTCGTTATCTGGGGATGGAATGTTAAAGGCTTTTAAAACCGTCACTCTTAAGGTGTTGGTTTAGCTGATCAGATTATTTTTTACGATTAATATTTTCAGGCTTCGAGTTACTGGTGTAGATCTGAAGGATTTAATGGTATCTCGCACATCAATAAAACGGCTATTTTAGAAGATTTATTAATACTTGGTCATGATCTCGTTAAAGATGTAATCCAACGTCCTGCCATTAAGAATGAAAGAATGAGTGTAGGGATGAACTGTAATCATAAGTCACATTCTTGAAGATTCTTATCCAATTCATCGCTGATGAGTAATTCATCTGATGGTTGTAGAATGACTTTTGCCTTCATGATATGCTGTTATATCGACCATTAAGTTCATATTGAACTGTTGTTTGCTGTTGGATTATTAAATTCGTCAAAGCTTAAAAGGATAGATATTATTTGTTGACATTGTTAATATTTTGTGTTAAAAATTCTTGATAAATATTTGAAAAAGAAGAAATGAGAAAATATTTGTTCATTCAATTTTGCCATATTTTATTACGAATGATGTGGTTGCTGTAGCAAGAAGAAATCTGTGGATCCAGAAGCGTTTATAAATTTTCATCCTCCGCACTTACTGTCCTTGCTATGTAAAGTTAGTTCTAGGATTATGGATGATATAGAGAATTTGGAGTATCTGCTTGCTGGAAGCTCTGTAAGTTTTGGACCAAATAATACAGCACGAGAGCATCCTAGGTTTTCTCAGTATAAATATGCGGGGCGAGCTGAAGCAAGTCAGGCCAAACGACGAGAAGAATTTCTTAAACGTCAGAAAGAGTATGTTTTTCTGTTGCTAGTTAAGGTTCAAAGTGTTTAAGACCAGCAAAGATTATTATTCTAAAGTTATATGACAGGTTTTGAAAAGTACATATATGATGCATTTTTAGGACTCGTTATCATTATATGTGCTGGGCAAGATTATTGGCGACAAGTCAGCCTCATGAAGAAGAAAGTACAAATGAAAGTGCGGAAAATGTTGAAAAAGCAAATGATGGTAAACGTCGAGGAAGAGCTTATCATCGGTTCGCGGGTGAGCTTATGCTCAGCGAATGGTTAGTCGATATTCCGGAAACTTTATGTGAGGATTGGATCTGTATACCATGTCCACTTGGCAAGCGATGTCTTGTAGTTGCTTCGAACGTGAGAATTTTTGTCACTTAAAATATGGAGGGGCGTACATTTCAATAAGTATTGAGTGCATCGGGCATTTCCAATAAATCAAACTAATTTGTCATAACATAGAACATATTAATAAAAAGATTGCCGCAACTGAAATGAGTGTTCACGCCTTTTGCTGAACCATAGCTTGTATTGAACGTTAACTGTATAGTGCTTCAGGGAGTAACTAGTGCTTATTCTAAATCTGGTCACCTCATTACACAATTTGCTTCATATTTGCCTGCTGGAAGTTCTTCAAGTTATGGTGCGTTAATCCATATTTTTGAAGTTGTGTGAGTTTTAAACTTTTTTATTTAATGGACTGATTTGATATGTTGTTAAGATAGTGGATACACGTTTTATTGATTGCACTGTTCCAAGGTACCTACGCTGTTCTGGATTGTATTTTTGATCAAAAATCGTTCACATTCTATTGTCTTGACCTGATTGCATGGAATGGGCAAACATTTGTTGATTCGGAATTCGATTGTCGATTATTCGTACTAAATTCTCGTATTACGGAGAATGAGAATTTCAAAGAAGTCTCGAAGCAAATACCAGTGAGTTTTAATTGTTCTTTCCTGATTACGACTTCATCTTAAATGCTTATTAATTGAAACTACTTTGTGGAAATTTCCATTTACTGTTTCTTGCCGAAATCAGATATTTTATTCATGAACGTTAAACTTATTTAAGTACCGCTTCTTATGTCTTCCATATTGTCGATGTGAATACAGTAATATGAAGGAAATGATGCACCGAGATTTTGGGTTTGAACTTGATGGTGTTCTTTTTTATCATGCGAGCGTGTATTATAGAAAGGGCCAAAACCCTCTCGGTTTGAATTTTGTAAATACTTACATTTACCAGAATTAAGCTGTCGAGTTTCAGGTTGTTGTATGTTTTAATGTTTTTCAATAAGAAGTAATAATTTGTAATGACAAGGTCTACAAAATTCAATTTTGAGTAAAGGTGCCAAGCTCGAGTGGTGGAATTTAGCCTTTTAGTTGTGAATGGTAGTGTTTTGGAAGGTGATAGAATCATCCATTAGGGTAAGCTGAGTTCAGTATTGGTATATTATTTTGATTAATCGTAATAAACAGTACTTATGGTGGTCTTTGATTCCTATGAAGAATTTGGTTGAAGGAAGAATAAAAAACTGTCAGTAATTTGTTTTCCAGTTGGGTGGCTGAAACCATGGATGATGCCAGAAATATTATCAGTTCCAGTACCGTCGAGATTGATGAATGGTGAAGAAACAATTCCAGGTCGATCACAAGAATTTATCGAAGATTTTAACCAAAAACATAAACATGTTAGCATGATAGGCAAGGCTACTATTGACAATGATTCGATTGAAGAGCATTTCGTGAATGGATGAATCTGATTTGTTAATGAGCCATTTTGCTGATGAATTCGGACTAGAAAATTGTACTTTTCCCATGCTTATATCGCAGCTAATGTATAATTAAATTATTTAACAAATGCTTCCTAAAAATCTACTTCCATTCAACAATAAACAATGTCCAGTCTACATACCTCTTTCTGCATAAACCTGTAGATTGAAATTTTACTGATGCAGGCTTCAGATGAACTACCATATGTCACAATTTCATGTTTTTATGTTAGTTTTTACTCGTATCTCAATATTTCACTCAGTATCATTTTGAGAGTACTACCTTATATTAAAATACATATGTATTTATTGTATTTAAGCCTTCCTGAGAAAAAAATTTCTAAGTTGCGCATTATGAATAAGTTTGATATGCTGGAAGACAATTTGAAGTGAATGAGATTGACAACAGTGATCTGGTATGCAACAAGTTTGTAACCATCTTTAAGATGTTAGTAGCATCGCATAAATGCAATAATAAATATGAGTAGTATTGCATAAATGCAATAATAAGTATGAGTAGTGCTGAATAAATGCAGTAATATACTCAGTTATGAGCAGTTAATCTGGGGTAGGTTGATGAGTGGTTGTTCTTCACCGCTGTCATTAAACAGGCTTCTAGTCATATGCAATCAAAACTAAGTCATAAAAGTTAGTGAGTACAGTTAACAAAATAAAATGAGTTGGTGGAAGTGATTTGTGCATATGTACAAACGGCACTTTTTATGTTTGTCGTGAAGTTTAGAATCTGCTAAATCTAATAGGATGCATGAAAAACTGCCACAAGCAAAGGTAGCGCACAAGTACTGTTGTTTTCCAAAACATTACTCAGCACCACCTGAAGAAATCTATAGCCACCAGTACAGAAGAAATGAAGCTTGCCACTGCCATCTGAATCACAATAAGAGTGGTTACGTTTTTTTTCCTCTACATCATTATACGTATCTATAAGGATTACTTCAACAAAAAGTTCTTCCATACAAAGGTATATTTTTAACTAAAAAACAGATGTTTTCATGGGTGACCTTCTAATCGTTAAATCAAGATGTTGAAGTTAACTTTATGCTAGCTGAAATGGAAATGCAAAATTAGAATGAAATGCCGTGAAGTATAAAGGTTGTCAAGTTCTTGATCTCAAAGTTAGAAATACTGAGTAAACTATATCTAATCTAATCTTACTCACTGGTAGCTTGATCATTCGTAGCATATCAATAAAAAATGAAATCAGGTGCTTCCAATTTCCAAATTTAGATTTGCTTATCAAAGTGCAGAAGCTGGAAAAAGTTGCTGCAGAATTGAACAGGAAATTGCATGGTTTAAAAAATTCTCGATTATATGCACAAGAGAAGAATAAAAGCTTGCTAAAGCAATCAGATAAGGTCTTTTCATATTAATTGCAAAAGAAAGCAAAACAAAAAAAAGAAATCTAATGAACTGGTAAATTTGTGACAGAAGTTTTCTTTACCAAATAAATGTTATGAACTGATGAATTGTATTAGTTAGTGGAAGAAATCAGGCAAAAGAACGAATGCAGAGAAAGATCAGCACGATTCAGAGAACAAATCTCATGTGAAGCAGAAAACTGGTCGAAAATATGGCAAAGTGAATGTGGAAAAGTTAGAAAATAAATTTTGTCTATGAAATTTCAACACAAAAAATTGTAGATGTTTAAATTAGCTTACAAAATTTACTCTCAAAGTTATTTAGAGCAGAATTTTTCATTAAGAAAATATTTTGGTAAAATTCGATAACAAAAGTGAAGCAGATCATTTACTGATCTTTTCGAACAGGATTATCGAAATTGCTTATTATCTGAGATCAGTGATATTATATTACTGGTGTTTGCCCGCTTAGAAACCAAAGTATTAATCAATGCAAACGATTTTTATCATGAACATTTTCTTTAGCATAAGTAAACAAGAGAAATGCCAAAGTTTTTACACTACATTTTCAAATTTCGAATTAATAAAAATTTAACTAAATATTCAGGTTTTAAGTTAATGACTTTCAAAGACAAATAAATTAGTCCTTTAAGAACGGTACTAATGCATATAAACAAATTATTTATTCGCTGTATAAGGTTTTATTCATTAATTTATGTTTTCTATAACTTGAAGTACTAAATAAAATATAAAAATTTATATTGGATGGATTCATTCTGAGACTTTAGAAAATTCTGGCTGATAAACAATTGATGGAAAATGCACAACAAGTCAAAATAATCGAAAAACAAGTTGAATACAACCAACGTCTAATACAGCATAAACGAAGATTAATCGGTTCATGGCAAAATAATATTGTGCAGAAAGTTCACAAAGTAATAAATCTTTACTAGTTATTAGTTTTATCCGTTTGGATATTATATTAAACCTCGAGATGGTTAGCAATTTTTGTCAATATGTAATGAGTGATTAAAGTTGACTTCTTGTAACAAGTTTTATGAAAGCCATGTAGTAGTAAGCAATATTTTTTTAACATTTTCATCAGTGATTGTAAAAGGTGCATTCAAGTTATTGTTGGTTACTAGGATGACCAATTAGTGATCGAGCAAGAAAATAAGCAAACTGAGAAAAAAATGATTGAGTGGCTAAACGAAAACAAACGATTATTAGGCATATATGAGGCAATGAAAGATTCTGAAGTTGAAATGATTTTTACAGCAGATCGCTGTCTACAACGAAACAGAAAAGCTCGTGTATCTGACATTTTCATACTCTTTTTAAAAATTTTATAACAGATTTTTTCTCCACTTTTATCATAAATAACACAAGCATTGTGCATACTTTAAGTTTGTTATATCTAACTATAAAATAACTTTCATCAGTAACAGCAATAACTTCTGTCACTTCTGCAATCACATTTTGAGTATCTCATTTGCAACCAATATTAATCAAACTGAATGTATTAACCAAATGTAAAACTATTATTGTACAATTAAAAGATGTTGCATATAAGAGTTGTGATTATGAATGATAAGATGCATCTTATCTCAGAGTGAATAACTGATTAATTATTAATACATATCGAAATTATAGGAAAAGTTTACTGATTAAATAGTACGATTAATGAAAAGATATCTCAGCAGATTTATAATTTTACAGGAGGAATATAGCGAAATGCAAGCCAACTTATTACTGATATCAAGGAATTTAGATGAACGTAGTGTGCTCAGTAATACAAATTCATCATCTAGCTCAATTACGTTACACAGCGAGAAAAATCATGCTAAAAAAGCTAGCAATTAGCTCATGGTACGTTTCAATGTCAACACTTGAACATTTGTATTCATGAAGAGACTATGAAATCTGATTAACGCTAATATGAACTTGAAGAAAATAATTAAAGTCTTGAAGCTGGCAACAATTCCACATGAGACGAATTAAATAAAATTAAGCTAGGAATAAGTAATTAACCAGTATTAAAATATAACTCAGCGTAATCAATTTATGATGAAAATATATACGCAATAATAGAAATTTGCACATTTTGAGGCAAAATATAGGAGGCTAGGACAAAGGTTAGATCTGCTGTAAACAAAAGTGAAGCAATTAAAAAAATGAAAATGAAATATTTAAGTGAATATAATGATACTAAAATTTCAGTTCAACAAGAAATAGATCAGATGCTTAAGCTGTATTTAGTTACGAATTATGAAGCATGGAGCATTATTCAAATGGATTCAATATTCAAACTGCATTTATTCGTTTAATACGTGTTTAGTTGGAAAGAATTAGAGTTATGTTTGACTTCATAGTTCAAAAATTTATGTAATAATTGCAATAGAAAATTTTACACAAAATGAAGCTGCTTATGCAGTAAGAAATGGAAAAAAGGAAACCAAAAATGGTTTCATGATGGAATGATGAGTTTTGAATTGATACCTTTGTATAATGTTCAACAACATAAATATGCTGTGCTACGTTCATTCCATTTCATATTAACAGTTCTGCTACAGAATTAATGAAAATTATTGGAAGTGACTACAGATCCATGTACATCTGTTTAAAGCTTTACTTCAGTCACAGTTATGTATATGACCGATCTGTGTTCGCCTTCATACCATATGTAATACCTGATTCCAAAAGGTATATTTGGCAAGGGTAGCTACTTTAGACCAATAACCTATATGGCGACTTTCATAAGCTGACAACGAAATGTGTGACACGAATCTTACTATTGGATGTTGATATAGCGTTAAATAATGTTTAAAAAAACGTTCGATTCAGTTAATCACAGCTACTTGATTAAGTGTATTAAAAGGCTCAACATCCTCGAGTGGATAGACAGACTTCTAGAAGCATCACATTTAGATGATTAGTTTTACTAAAAAGCAACGCAGAAACCACAATTGAAAAGAAACTGCAGCAAACCATTCTCCAGCGTGATAGTCTTTCGCTGCTGCTATTCGTCTTATGCATGGACCCATTGAACCCTTCGCCCAATACGTGGTACTTAGAAGTGACGATTCCCACCGATATGATCAAGGAATGCACATAAAGAACTATGTACTACTTGTTAATGATCTCAAGATTTTTATGAACAGTTACATACAGTGAAGAAGTGATGGTATCTACGGTCGAAGAAGTTCTGAGGTTATGAATCTAGAGCCGAAGACGTCCAGAAATTCTCTATAATTCTTTGGAATAGTAAGGTTAGGGCTGAAGAGTAAGCGTCACGAGATTGAAACGAGGGTAAGATAGTTTGATACAGCGCCACCAACAGTAATGCAAAAAGAATGATAACCTCCGTTTCATTATTTGTTATAATTTTAATTAATTAATTAATAAATATTACTACTACTATTATTAACTAATTAAATTATTATTATGATTATTATTATTATATAATAAACAATATCATACGGAAGTTAATCCTCTCTTTCTTCATGATTGATAAGGGCTTTGAACTGTGTAATGACACTCTTATTGTATTCGTCCTGATCTCCGTTACTTCATCCTTGTAAAATCCATAACGATGATCGGATGAGATGCATTCGAGCGTCTTATTGAGCGCTGTCGTTTGGATACATGACTCAGGACTGATCTCCTTCGCATAAAGTTTATGAAGTTAATTCCATCCCAAGTCATCGCATACGGGATTACTTTGGTCCTGCATTTTATCTCTGACCCGAGTTTATTAGTCAGTCGATCATAACTTTGCCTTTTCTCGGTCTCGACTGCTGTCAACCTGTCCAGACTAGTGATGCCAACCTCAATCAGGATTACTTCACGTTGCTTCTTATCATGTATCATGATATCCCATCGATCCGCACTTATCTTTAAATTGATTCTTATCTCCATGCTTTCATCCGCAACAATCTTCAGAACAGAGTGGCTTCTAAAAAGTGTGACTCATTGTTTTCTCACTTTTGTTATACGCAATTTACTAACAGATCTGGGATTGGCCATTAATGTATTCGTTGACATCACGCTTATCTATGGTCATGATTTGTATGGATATCGTTTCTACACGTATCTTTTTATCATTGTACGAGGTAGGTAGATTACTTAATCACTTATAGATATAGGTAACTGTTGATCAATTTATATGCTTTAATGATTGCAAACATGAAAATTAGCATACTTTATATTTAGTAAGAAAGTGGGCAAAATGTTTCTTTCGATATGTCATAAAATAAGTAAAATCCCGCCAGACTACAAGCAATAATCTTGCTGACAACCTTACACCGTTCTTAATTTCATTATTCTACATAAAACTATTTGAGCAATCAATCTCTTATTCAAATATTTTCAAATGCGCAAGTTTTCGGCCACTCTTTAGCAGAATTTCAACCATATTTTGCGATTGGTATTATGTAGTTGACGCATTATTATTTTTTGTAATTAAAAAGTGTTGAATTTCAGCTCTCTTTCTGGATGTATACATCCGATTTGAGCATGTAAAAAGCAAGTTACTGTGATTTAATTACTGTCTGTATAGTTTGGCTTTTTGAATTCCATGCACATGTTTATCGAATATCACATAATTTCGTCGATAATGAATTATTTATTCATTTAATTGTTAATTGAACTCATGGCATTCATATTATGACAACATGTATGTCGCAGTTGTAATACGTTTTTAATATATTCAATATTTCGCAATCAAATCGCTTTTTATATATGTTGAATATTTCGCAATAATAAATCTTGAACTGACCAATATTTCGTAATTGGGAGGAGTTTTGAAGAGAAAGTTACTGCCTGTTTTTAAGCTTGGCAAGCATTTCGTAACTAGGTGGCGTATGAAAGGTGGACAAGAGAGTAGGATTAATTTTTTTTAAAGAAATGGTTACCGTATTATGAAGTAGACTGCTAATTGCATTTGTGGACTGTGTTACAAACTGCTTCTATTTCGAGAATTTTCAAGCTGGTTGTGTTGTTCAGAAATAGCAAACAGCTCATTGTTCGTTTGGGTTTGGTGTTGTGTGGGCGGTCTAAGCCTTGTGTCTCAGATTATTTAGAACTGTCTCGTCGTACTAATACATTCAATGGCTCATTCACATTTCATTTATTCTTTGTTTCATTTTAATGTCAAAAAAGCACTTCAATAGTATTTTAACACTCATAGTTATTATCATGTTTCGAAATTTAAAACAATACAATAGCATTTTTGTTAGTGTTAAGATTCGTTTGATATACCTGAACATATTTTCGTGTTTAGAGCAGGCTGTTTTTTGTTTTAGTATCAGAAGTGTTCGTATTTATTGTCTATCAATAAAATCAAAAATCGAATACTTTTCTTATCACAAAAAATATCACTTATTTATGATTTTAAATACTGATTTAAGATATTTTGAAGGTCTTAGGATGAATTACGGGAACTAAATCTTATGCAGGTCATCATATGCTCTCAGATAATTGCATAGCCTAATGGACAACAACGCGAACAGTTCTGCTCGACCAAATAATGATGAGGATTATGAAGTGGTAAGTCATACTTTTTTTCATTATTATCGTATCATTAACGATATTTTTTCATTTTGTTTTTGAAGCAAGTGGTCGAAATAACTGAATTTCTTTATGTGTATAAAGTTCATCATCTGTAGCATCTATATTTTTCTTCATCTGTGTAGAACTGAACATTATGTGAGATTTGTTTTGAAGCTCTCCCACCGACTTTTGACATGTTTGGATGATCAAAATAGAAAAAGTGCTTTGAAAATCAATAAGCATCCATCTGTGACCCATTTGGTCGCTCGACGTGAATTAGGTCTTCAGCAAAATCATTGCAGTTTTGGTAGGAATGCCTTACGCGCACTTATTCTGTCAGTAAGTTTTGTTTTTCATTTCATTGCGATGTGGTTGTCATTCATTACTTATCCACTCAATTAATTTAATGAAATCCTGCCTCATCAAATATATGAAATAATCTTACCTAAAGTTTTGACTCTTTATTTCCTGTTTTTTTCGTATTTAAAAATTCTACAATTTTTTCGATAAGATTTCAATTTTTACATAGTTTTCCCTTGTATTGGTCATTCACTGAATCAGTGTTTTATATGCTCTTTCTCATATGCTCTGCTCTCTGTACAGTGGATCGATATTTATATTTTTCTAGAAAAATCGGAAATATACTGTATCAGAAAAACATGTCGCAAAAGGTCTTCTAAACATTGATGGGCAAGTTTTTTTACAGCTATCATTATCAGCTGTATAGAGTCACTAGCAAGGTTACGTAGCGAATAAGATATATATCCTGAAGTTTTCATTAGTATTTAAAGAAAAGCAATATAAATGATGAATGCAGCATTTTCTATTTGTTAGACACCAAAAAAAATTTGTGTCTTTAAATAGACACACGTTTCTTGTTAAGGGGTATGGTGATTGCACATAAAGCTCGAAGAGTCTATAATGTGGATATAATGGAACCATTGTGCTCGTTGAATATGTTGCAACAATCAGAAAGAATTCTTTCAACACTTTGGGTTGAACTTGTTGTAGACTTGCAGGTCACGATTTATATTGCCTTATTGTATTCTTTAGTTCTATTAATAAGCAGACTTGGATGAAAGCTCCTTTTTTTGGAGCCATTTGTAAATGCTCTTTCAGGATGGTGTGTCAAGAAGTTCACCATACTGGATACTAATTTTAACTCAAAGACGCTTATTGTGTATTGACCCTCTACATCAGACTTTAGAAGCTGAGTTTATACTGCCATCGGAATTATGTAGCTTCAGGTTTGATTTCATCTTTTAAAATTTAATTTATATTTATGTTCATATTCTTCAATGCCTTATACTAAGATATTTGATTACGAAAGCCATAAAAGATAAAGTTCAAATAATTCTAAGGTAGATAGCATTCTGTTTCTGCAGGAGTTCTGTATTTGCTCAATAAGACTATACATATTCATTAATCTCATGGTTTTTTTTTACATCTTTATTAGCACCGTAATAAAGTTACTTTTGAAGCTTCTGAAACATGATATTTTTTAATTTCATTAGTTTTTGGTGACTAGTTTTAAATAGCTATTTTTATGTTTTAAAAATAACGTTTTCAGTTCCTTGAGTCCCAACGAATTAGGACGAACATTTTGTTTGATGGGTCATGTGATGCAGTCACAGGTAGTACAAGTTTTTTCTTCATAATCTTATTTAAATACTCATGTAGTTGTAAAGATAATATTATTTGTTCAAATGATAGAATCTTTACAGCTATAAGAGTGATAAAATGAAATATATGATGTTATAAAAAGTTTATTTTAGAGTGGAAGCAATGATAGCAGTGGGGCAGATTCTGTTGTTGGTTTGTTTGATGTCTACCCATTGAAATTCAACGGCCTTTTCCGAGTTAGTAAAGAGGTAGGTTTCGTTTTATTTAGGAACAGATTTCTACTAATAAACTGAAACTATATATATATATATATAACGTATTAGTATTATTTTTTTAATTGGTCATTTTTTAATTTTTTTTGTTTCTAGTTTAGGGGTTTTGGGGGGAAGATTTTTTATAATGTTGGTTTTTTTAATTGAAGTTTTTTTTGCTTTATTGCAGAGTTATATTTTTTGACGTTAATTAGGATGTTTTTGCTTAATATGATTTAAGGCTATATATATTTATAGTCTTGGCATTATAAATATTAACTTTTCTTAAGGTGTTTGGAAATGTCACGAACGTGAGCGTGATATCTGATATGGTCATTATCTTCAAAAAGAGGCCTTATGAGACGGTATTATACACTTTAGCTGACTTTCAAAATCATGTGAGTGCTTACCATATATTTACATTTTTCATAATACCAGTCTTTTCTTCAAAAACTAAAACATTTGTGATTGCTTGAAGCGGCTTCTTTAAATTATTATCGTTCTGAAATAGGCATCATGCTCATAATATGTACTGGAAGTAAAGTATTATAGACTGAGCAAGGTGTGTATGGAAGAGCTGTACACATCGATAGAAAAATAATTTTGCCTCAACCGACTCTTATTGTTTCAGAACCAGCTATGTTTGCTAGAATTTCCGGTATTTTTTTCCATTTCATTAAATTTGACAACTTTTTGTTTCTGATTTGGATTTTTATCAAATTTTATTTTAGTTTTTGATCATTTTTGCTCATATTACAGGTAATTGGTCAACACTGGAGTTCAGTGGTCTACCGTATCATTTACTAGGTGTTCCATATTCTTCAAAAGGATCATATATGCTAGTGGACGCTGCAACTATGGTGCAACCGGTGTCTTAATCATTTTATTGTTTTGCATCAGTCTCGCATTTTTAACTAGATTTATATTCAAATATTTCTTAAGTGAGAGCGAAAAATTAAGAGGAACTGCAGCATGCTTTATTCGGGCTTATAGTTTAATTTTTTTTGCACATTTCAAGGTGGTAGATCAATGTCGTCATGTAAGTGAAATACTTTCAGGCTGCTTTACCATTTTCACTTCAACCATCAAAAAACATATCTTTGCAAATTGAAGGAGCCAGTTTAATGTTTCATTCGGATGAGTCTGGACGGATACTTCGTTTTGAGGGACCTGCACTGGTGGCTTATAAAATGCAGCGGTGATTGTTGTATATGGACATTTTTTGGAATCATATCTGTAGTACATGTTTAGAAAATTATGGATTTGTGATTTAACGTCGCTTTCATTAGTTTTTATTTCACTCAGAGAAATACCTCGATTTGTAATAGTTATTTTTATGAAATAAATTTTTTATGGAATAAAGATAACTGTTACAAATAGAGGTATGTCAAATTGCTAGGAAGTTATTTTTTATAGAGCAGTCAGTGGTGAGATGGCATTTGAAGAGGCATGGCGAACAAATTTGTGGGTTGATAATAATTCATTTCGTGAAAGGCGCGTATGGTAATCGTTTACTCTTATTTTTAATTCAGTACATATCTTGAGTTATTTTTCTGAGCAATTTTAAAAGTGGAATATATCATATAAGAAGTATTTTTCGTGGACGAGATATATTGTAAAATTAGAATAATTAAACATGTAAAATTTGTGTGGCTTCGATTTAACTTTTTATAGTATGTCGAACATGAAGTCAAGTTTTGGTCGTTTAATCAAGCCAACAGGTGGTTACGAACAAAACTTTCAACTAGTATGGTTACGTAATCTTTAAGAAAATATTTGTAATGCTGAAAACAAGAGATTGCTAGTTTGATATTACCAGTTGAAATTAGTTTTCTAGTGCAGGTTCGATTTTATGGTTTAGAAGTGAGACGAAAAATTCAAGTTAAAAAACCATTGAAAGTTCACAGAGGTCCATACAGATTAGTGGCACATTTCTAATAAAATTTAACTATTGTTTTCTTTTCATTGCCAGAAAATGTTGAGTTAACATGATTTTTTTATATTAATAAGGTAATAAAAGGAGTCGACATCGATATTGACAGTCAAATTATTGCTGTCATCACGGAGTGTGATCTTAATTCACCAGTTTTTGATAATCCAGATAGGTTAATTCTTCTTTAGTTGTCATACTTTTCTTTATTAGTAGTATTAGCTCATTAATTACGTCATCGTTTTTATGATAGGTTATTTTTTATTTGTTGACAAACGTTACTTCAGAAGGATCATATTCAAAATTTTAATATATAGTCTTAATTTTTTTGTATTTAACTCTACAGTAATTTCTAAAACTTTCTATGAACTGCGAATAAAGCATGAAATCAGTAATGTTGAACTCTTTTCTTGAAGAGCAAGTGAACGTCGTCGCAATGTTCGTAATATGTATTTGGAAGAAGCAAAGTCATGTGCTGTAATCTTTTTATTGGATGATATGACTGGTGTTATCTTGAAAATTGCAATGATGCATGAACCAGTTAGAGAAGTAAAGATTTAATCTGTTCATTTTGTTTTTTATAGGGATTCTGAATCTTATTTTGAATATTAAATGTGAAAATCTTTAGAATTATGCTAGAAAACTCAAAAGGTCTTCACTGAAGGTTTTTAAAATTAATATTATTTTTAGAATACTATATTTCATTACGATATGTCCGGAGTTTTAATGTGTTTCAATCAGCGGGGACCTCGGAAATCTTATCTAGAAGTTCAACGTTTACAGGAAATTGGAGTATTTGACTGGGAAAACGCAAGTTCTGATCAGGTTTGTAAAAGGGATTTGGATAATGTCCTGGTTGCTTTCCTAAAGCGACATGAATTTATAAGCATAAATTAACAAACTACATTATGCTGTTAGAATATCCTCCAATTCTGATTTCTTAAGCTAAGTAAATTTTGAAGAGCTTTTTGTTAATTTGTCGGATATTATTACGAATCAGTGAAGGTGTACAAAAATTTTATTAAGGAAAGAACGTAATGTATGTGAAATGCAGGCATAGAAAGTGGAGCGGAAATCTTTTAACCTGCACTGCGTTAACTCATTTGATATTTTTTAATGAAATTTCTGTTTTTAACTCTTGCAGTACAAGTCCGGGTAATGTGTGCTCTTTTCCGTCAGTGTATTGCTTTTTTACATCAATTAATGGATCAAATAGTCCGAAATATAAGTGTTGATGCAATAAATTATTCAATAAATCAAAAAATAATTATGATTTCTAGATATGTAATTAGAAAAATTATTTCTTGATATCTGAACATATTTAACTTTAAAAATCTTTTTTGGAATTCTTACTTTATAGGCTGAGCAATCCAATTCAGACAATCATACAAATGAGCAAAACCAGCGACGAACACGACTTCAAACTCGAAATGCTAGGTCTCAAGAAGCAAATAATCGGGCAGCATTATCACGCTATGATGGATCTCCTAATAGAAGTGAGGTTTTATAATAATCTATAACAGATAATTTATCTGTTAAAGCAGTTTAATCAATTTGGGAATTAATTATTCATTTTGCATGCTCTGGACATCCATTTAAATAAAGTTCTCATGATTTGTAACCTTTTTTAAGGATATGGTTGTACTTTCAACCATTTATTCCTGTAAGTTGTGATAAATAATGCAACTTGTACACCTTATATATATATGGAAAAGACAGGAATATTAATGAGGTAAGGGTATTGAAGTTTTGAGTGAATTTAGTTCTTTAGGACTTGGACGAACAAATGATGCCATACCAAGTGGAAGTCATGATATAATTATTCGTAACCCACTTGACAGAGGAACTCGAGTCCTTCATATGGAAGATTCAGATTCTTCTGATTCTGACTATTTTCCTAGAGACTAAAAAATTTTAACTTGTAATTGTATGCTCAGTATTATTTACTGGCATATTGTGCTGGATTCATGTTCTTGAGTTTTATTTCATTGTTTTATTTTAAAATGACTTATTTGGAAAATGGCAGGCAACAGAACGAGCTAAAGTATTTTCTCAAAAGTAATATACAAAGTATTTTCTCCTTAGCATTCTTTTATTAGTTCAAATGTGTTCTGTATTTTTACCTGTTGTGTTTTCCTTGTTTTATATTTTAGCACACTCCAGTTGTTTTTAGATTTCAGTTCGTTCCGTTTCTTGTGTCATGTTTCTGTAAATTAGTCCATTTTTTTAACAGATCTCACTCTACATGAATATAGTCATGCAGGTGCTTGTGCCAATACAGTTGAAGTAATGAATGGTATATTTGCTTCTTCTGGAAAATGAATGTCTAATTGTTTGAACTCGCTATAAGCTTGTATAATTGATTGGATTCAATTCGCAGATGATAAATAAATATATCAGATGCCACTGTTCAGTGTGATTGTTATGTTTTGTGTTTAATGGCTTTAATAGTGGTCAATTTATTTTCGCGTCTTAAATAATAATGTAGTAAAGGTGATTTATTTCTTGGCTAAATTTGCTAGGTCAATGATTTATGTAGTATAAATGGAATTTTTTCTGAATGGAAGTTGGTTTAATTGGGTGAAGTGGTTGTATTAGTGCTATATGAGGGCAGAGAGAATATAGATGTATAGATTTCCACAGTTCGGAGCATTTGAAAACAACATTAGGTGCGGAATTTGACTACTACCGTAGATAGTTTTAGACTTTGTCCAGTGGTGAAGTACCAAATACTGCGGCATCGTACAGCTCGTGATATTAAGTGTATATGTAAGACTTTCAATGGCGTTTGAGGAAGTTGAAGTTATTAGTAAGTCCCTAGCTGCATGAAAGAGAAATGGCATTGTGAGTTTATTTGTTTACCGTTATTTTCATTTCATGTGGTTTTTTTTACTTAGAATACCTGACTTCTATAAATATATAGCTATTCTGGGAGCAAATGTTTGTAGGAGTTTCCTGTTTTTTTGATTTAAAAATGTGCTTGCTTCTATTAGCGATTTCTAATGGAATAGGTAGGGCATTTCTTTTATATTTCAGTGTTTTTATACACCTACTAATAACTGTATGATGTGGCATAAGATAAAAAGGTTATTTTTGGACGAGTGCTTACTGTATCTGATGACTCTACAAAGTAAGGCTGATTTGCGAGAACGATATATTAGTGATTTTCCGCAAATGATTGCTAATTTAAACCGAAAAACAGCAGGTGTTATTGGTCAGTATTAATCACTGCAATGTCAAGTTTTCTGATAAGAATATTGTTGGAGCTTGCTGATATCAAACAAATGGGTTTTTGATTGACAAACTGTCTTTTCTAAAAATCTCAGTAGTTTCCGTATTTATTTCATCACTAGATGGTCCCGAAATGATGGAAAGAAAAAAAAAAAAGATTTTTTTCGAGAATCAATGTCGTATTTGATAATTGTCTGGTTCTAGATGTTGCCACTTTCAGTAATTGGAGATGAGATCTTGAAAGGTATAACACAAGACGTAAATTCGATTTTTTTTTGCAAAGAACTGCACCGTAAAGGAGTCCTGCTCAAAAAGGTACTCTGCTATAAAATGATGCATTAGACTGAGTGTCATAGATACCACAATATTGATGAATTGAGACTAAATAGTTTCTGAAAAGAAAAAGTCCCAATTTGCGTAAATTTCATAGTATTCTGCAGGTGAAGTGGACAAGAAGATAGAAAGTAAAATAATTATAATACTCATTTCAGTATGGTAGAAAGAATACAACTATTTAGTTGCAGATATCAGTCGTATCCGATGATGTTGAAGATATTGCTCGTGAAGTGAAACAATTCAGTAGACGGTTTGATATTGTTTTGAGCTCGGGTGGTATTGGACCAACGCACGACGACCGCACCTACACTGGTAATGTCGAGAATTTGTCAATGTTATTTAACTTAATTCTGCAGTTGGTATTCAGTAGATATAAATCATAGCTTTTGATTGGTAACAGAAAATCAAAAAGATGTGTAATTTTTCAGTGTGACCTGTTTTTTTTTTCAGTAACACGTTTCATTTAGAGCAGAATATGAATAAATTAGTCTATTTTTAAGTTATATTTCCTGTTATCTTTAGGATTAGCTATCGCTTTTGATGATGAGTTGACGATCAGGAAGGAAATGAAAGAATGGATGAAGTATTTCATGTGCAAGATGAGCAAAATTATACCTGATGGTGGTCTGGAACGTATGTGTACTGTGAGCATTCATTTAAAACTTCTTACTGTAATCACAGAATCTTGTCAAACTCCCACCACATTCGAAATCCATTATGTAATTACCACAGTAATTCGGTAAAATTATGAGACGAGCATTTTTGGATAACTGCACTGATTACTGTTTTAGTCATTTTAACGAATGTGAAATTCGAATTCTTCTAGATACCAAAAACTGCTCACTTGTTATGGAGTGAACGAAGAGTTTTTCCGTTGGTTCAAATGCGAAATGTGTATGCATTTCCTGGTATTCCGAAGTTCTGCACTGACGCATTCAAAGAGTTTGAAGTAAGTCTAAATCAAAAATTTAATTTTAAATGAAAGTTGAAATAGTTTTGAATTTGAAAGAACTTCTCGTGATATTACTCCTTCTCGAAAACATCAAATCTGAAGTTTTCCCTATGTTTTCTGGTATCCTCTATCTAAGTGAAAAGTTTGATGTGATTTCCTTATGAGTAAATTGCAAGTTATGTTAGCTTTATTTTTCACGAAGATAGCATAAACACTTTGTAAATAAAATAAGATCGTTTTTCTAACTTTTCTAACATATATATATACATATATATATATATGTTAGAAAAGTTACTATTTATAATTTGTAGATGATCTACATGTATAATATGTAGATTATCATCATCGACAAATTATAAATAGTTCGTTACATGCATTTTTTGATCGGTGAAAACCTCCATCTTTGGGCATCTGATATTAAGCCTATGCCTCAGGGGATCCATGCATAAAACTATCAAGAGCGGAGAAAAGGTGTCAACTTGGAGGATTCCCCTCTGTGTTTTTTCCTCCATTATGCGAAAGCATTTTTCAACGTAACTGCTATTTGGAGGTAATGCTTCTGAGAAACTTGCCGCTGGCATATTGAGTTTTTCGACACAATCAGATAACTGTGACTAAATCAAACGCTTTTTTAATGTCATATCACTGGTATATAACTGGTTTCCATGCTCTTTGCATACTGCTAGGCTCAAGGATGCCTGCTCTTTCGTACCTTTAACCTGGCCAACAGTTCCTAATCGGTTGCCTGCCATAATCCTCGCATGGCAACATGTAATTGCATGATTCGTTGTAAACTTGTAGAATTTTAACTATACAAGTTATTGACCTGAAGTAGCTACTTTTGAAATCAGTTACGTAGTTCTTTTATGGAACCATGGCTCTTGTTCTTCCATATCCAGGTAACTCGGCCTTATTATTTTGTGCAGTTCGTGATGCGAGGAGGTGGGCTTTTTAATCAGGAGTTATAGACTCTAATGAGACCCACCGCCTTTCTTTTAAGCAAATAAATAACTTTTATCTCAAATCGTATTATGCACTTCATAATCTGGAACTGATTCTTTTGAGATTTTCGATGTGCCGGATTCCACTTCCGAGTTTCCACATCGTGTTCCTGATTTCTTCTGTTGATTAATTGTGGCTAATAAGCTGTTCCTCGATTAGTCCATTATTAAAGCGCTTTTTAAGCAGCATGAATCTTGCGTTTCAGATTTTGAATGCACATCGGAGCTCATAACTTTTAATTTCATTTTAATAAACTCTCACACGCTTTTTCAGCATGCTTAGGGCCTCGTGACTTTTACATTTAAGAGCAAGTATGAGATTCATTACTTGATTAAATTGTTATATATTGGAACACAAAATTTTGATGCCCAATATGAGTTGTTTCTGAAAATGTACGTGCTGTAAACATCATGTCGAAGCAGCTGTTGATTCATTTATGAAGATTTGAATCTGAAAGTATTATAAACTCGCAAATCATTATTATAGTCTGAGTATCAGTGCATCAGTCTTGATGACTACATACATGTATTGATTGTATCAATATGTAAAGGATGTTGCATATAGTGTTGTACACAGACATACAGGATTTTTGCCTGAACAAATCATGCCTTTAACATATGTAAACATGAAGCAAATGTCAAAGTCATTTCTGAAATTCAGACTCGATCATTTTAATGCATTTTTTCCCCCTTTCTCATATTTCAGTTTTTTCTTATTAACAAGCTAATTATTGATGAACGTCGCTTTATCTATCTCGCCAGATTTTTTTTCCTTATTTAAGCTGTAATTAATAGTGTATCAGACTTTAATGAATATTTCTGTTACTGTTTGGTAAGCTTATTGGACGTTTTGCGTAAAACTACAAGCATTTGATTGTTTTATGCTATTCAAAAATTAAAGACTACTAATTCTAAGAGTTGTAAGTGAATACTATAGAGTAGTTATCGTTTACAGGATTCTCTATTCCCTTCATATGCAACTAAGCCATTTCACTCATCTACTCTTCATATTAAGACTACGGAGTTACAGTTTTCGGACATAATGATGAAAACAGCAGAAAAATATGGTGCAAAAAATGTTTCGATCGGATCATATCCAACTACAAGCAATAAGTAAGTTTTAGTTGTATAATTAGATATTGTTGTCAAAAAAAAGGTTCTTGAGTTGTAATGGCTTTTAAAAGTTTGAAAGCTTGATTTTTAAAACTTTAGAGCTTCCTTGTGTGAAACATTTAAATTTAATTGATGCCAAGTTATTGGTATGGACTAAGTTTCTAGTTGGAAGAATTTTTAATATGCTCAAGAATGCTATATTTGGTGGATTCTATAAACAGTCAAGGTGAGCGTTATGAGTAAATAATTTGATTTTCCCTATTTTAGCTATTATAAAACAAAATTATTGGTGGAAAGTGAGTCAGCTGATTTGGTCGAGAAAGTAGTACAAGATTTGAAAACTAATTTAAGAGGTAAGCTATTATTTATTTCGTTGCTAGTGCTTTTCTGAATGGAAGATTGTTATTGACTGGGAATTTTTACTAACTTTCTTGTCGGTATTTGCAAAAATTTTTCTTCACTTTTCATGTATGCAGTTGATGAATTATTTAGATCAAGTAACATATTTTGATGAAGAACCGTGGATCGATACAGTCCAAAAGTTTAGTGTTTTCCGAGAAAAGGAACTAGAAAAAAACGATGGGGGTTTTATAAGGCGTCTGGATGATGCCATGCAATGTATTGATGAAATAGTTTCTCAGAAGGAGTAAGTATCATTGATAAAAGCTACTAAGACATGTTGAAAATATAAAATCAAAACAAAAGCTATAAATCAATTTTTTGTGAAGATTCACGTACTGAAACTGTAGTTTGTAGATATCCTAATTGAAAATAATGGGTTATTACCTTATGGAAAAAAAACCAGACGTCATGCATATTTAAAAAAAAAAATAATAATATTATAGATTGGATGAGCTATGTATATCGTTTAATGGTGGTAAGGATTGTACTGTCGTGCTGCATCTTCTGCGAATTGCAATAGACAAGTTACTTTTTCTTTTATATGATTTTCAAAAACGAAACTGTTTTTATTATAAAAAAGCTACTTTTTGATTGAGTGGCGAATGAAGGCTAGAGATGCTTCTTTCTAAATATGTTTAAACTCATATTTGATTCTTACTGACTGAATCGTTTTAATACTAGTACAATGTTAAAATTGTTGAACTGCAGGAAATATGGACCGCAGCAGACAATATTAGGCTTTCATATTGTATGTGGTGATAGCTTTCCCGAAGTTAATCAGTTCATTATCGACACTGCGAAGTGGTCTGTTCAGTATTTGAGAACCAAATTTTGCCTATTTGAAAAATTTCTGTAAGAAAGCAATGGTAACTCGTATTGTAATTGCATTTTTTTAATTTCGGAGAGGTTGTTTTCAAGAGGAATATCAAAATTGTGTTTTAGGTATAATATAATGATACTCGAAATATCAGGTCCTTTGAAAGCAGGTCTACTCCAATTAAAAGATATGCGGCCGAAATTGAAGTGTGTATTTATGGGTAGTCGTGAAACTGATCCAAGTGCATCATATATTAAATCTAAGTGTCAGTCTACAGATCCCGGTTGGCCAAGTTACTTGAGGTTATCAATTTTTGGTTCCTGTAGTTTGTGTCTGTTTGTTTAATTAGCATTTGTAGTTTGTTTGTTTTTTTTTTTATTTTGAACAGATACAGAATAAAAAATTTACATTCTTACTGAACTCTGATCGAAATTCAAACAAATTGTAATTGAAACTGCATATGAAGAACTCACTGTTTGGAATACCCATATTATGCAGGGTTTGTCCGATTTTGGATTGGAGTTATAATGATGTATGGCGAACGCTACGCGGCATTTGCATACCATATTGTTCTCTTTATGATTTGGGATATACTTCTCTTGGAGAACGTGATACAACTCGTAAAAATGACGCATTAAAAATTGTAGATGGCAAAGGTTGTACTGTTGGTTATCACCCGGCATATATGTTAGGAGCAGCTACATTGGAGCGGTCAGGCAGAAGTTAGTTGACTTGATAATTCATCAGTTCTCATGATGTTCGAAATTTCATTGGTGCCTAATTACATTATATTATATAATGATTGACTTATTTAAATGTTTTGGATGTGCAGAGTCTTAGGATGTCACTGTTAAACTTCAAACAAAATTGTAATCATCAGTGTAACCTTGGTGAATGTGAAAAGTCCAATAAATATTTTTTTCATCCTATAGATATTTTTTCGTCAAAGAATGGATTCATTCATTCAAATCGTAGTGCATGGTAAGATCACAAATGAAAGAAGAAATGTTTGAGTTCTTGTAGTGAACAGTTCGAAGCAAAATTTCTGATCAGCGCAAGCAGTTAACTCGATTTTGATTTAGTATCAAGTTTGGATGTTTTCATTTACGATGATTTTCAACTAGAGGTCGTTAAATCAAACAAGTTTGATAGAAGTGGTTTACGTGTTCGGGTAGCTTTGTTATCAATATTTGGTCGATCATAAATTGAATGCATGACCGACGTGTTTTCATCCTAGGTAAACATAGGTCGTAAATGGTGTGCGGCATTGCGTTTTCCACAATTCCCCACAAAACCGGTCTTTCCTCATTAGTACGTAAACTTGCATCTTTGTCACGTTACCGCCAAATTCATTAGAAGCAATAACAAGTGTCAGGTTGGTTTAGTTTGGTTTCGAGCAATTCTCAACCACATACTACTGAAGATTTCTCAAGAGGTAGTACCTTTATTTCTTGTGATTTTGTTAGCTAATTTTACTAATGTGGAAGTTGGTATTACTGAAGACAAAAAAAACGGAAGTCGCACCAACCAGAAATTTTTTGGATAAAAGATATGCAATTTCTCTAAAAGGCATCATTTCCTAGTCATGCTGCAAGAAAGATATATCTTCTAAGGTAACTTTTTTCCAAATTTGATCAGTACGCTTAACACTGAATTAACCATTCTCTGGGTTCCAGATTCTATCTACGTGTTTCATCCCGACCTTTGTATTATGGATTTTGAAGCAAACATTGTGCGGACTAAATTATGCATTACTTAAATCTTTCAGCATTTGCTTTAGCAACAATATTGATTTGTAGTTGTGGTAAGTTCATCTTATACAGAATTTATATTTGTCACTAATGAATGCTATTGTAATTTAGCTGAATACTTCAGCTTGTAGAGCAGCTACTTTACGTGATCTCTTTCAAAAGCTACAACAACGTCAAATACAAGAACAAAAACAACAGAGATTCCAAAATCTCTTAACGCCTTCTCGATACCATCCACACGCGCATCGCGCAGATGGAACTAAAAATGCCGTTGGGTCAATAAGGTTCGCTTTCCATTTCATTCGACTAATTATTCATACGTTTGAAATTGTATATATATAGATAAAATATTGTTTTCAAGAGTTTTAAAAGTAATCAGAATAAACCGAGCTGCTTTTCAGGCACTCGAAAAAGTGCAATGAAAAGGAAAAAGAAAGTGAATAAAATTACTAGTTGCGCAAAGTTCACTCGAACTTTTTTTTAATATTCAGATAAAACACTACAACACTTTGTTATCACCAATAAGTTTATTATTCTTTGCAGAGGTAAACCCATTCATTCTCGGCAAGATAGCGATTTCATTGATGATAATGGGATTCCGGTACCGATTCTTGGTCAGCCTTCTCGAAATAATGATAACCCAATAAATAATAGGAATAACAGTCGCTCCGTTTTGACACGACATCCGGCACCTTTTCATGATTAAACACTCAATATCATTTTGTATATTCATTTCTATACATGCTACACTACAAATGATTGCCTCTTTTGTCTTATTACGGATTATTTTGATTAAAATTATTTAAACAAATATCTAATTAGCACCGCCTTTGATATTTTAAGAAATTGAAATTGATTTTAAATTTGTTTGTTATTTAAAATTTTCACCTCTAAGTGTTATGGATTCTTTGCGAACAGTATGAAATAATGTCAAGAAATCAGAATAATTCGAGAAAATTTAGTATAAAGAGAACTTAATGCAGGGTCTTACCCATAAATCTTGATCTGAACGATTTGAATTCATGGTAGACAGTAATATTGCGTTCAAAATAGATACTAGATGACTGACAAATTCTCTCGTATTAAAGTGTTAGATTCATATCGCATATGAACCTAGTTCTTCAATTTTGCTGAAATGTGACCATTAAAATGTCGAAGAGCAATGATCGTTCGACCTCGTACCCTAATTTGCGAAGCACACTATCACCTTTAAATTCAAATCTAACTCAGCAATCCGAACCTAACTGAATATGCTCTTTCTAGTAACATTACTGATCTGTTCATTGCCAAAAGGTGAGAAACCCCGCTTTCCGTTCACAAACATTGACTGTTTTTTACATTTACATAAACTGCAGACTTCATTTTCAAAGTTCAACTACTATATATGGTCAATCTTTTTTCTTACTATACATATTTTATATATATATATATATGATGGTAGAACAAATCCTTAGCATTGATCTTCACCGCAAAAAGCAAGAATAACTTTATTTTGAATAATCCCCAAATCATCGTAGAGTAGTTCGGAAATTCATTTAACAAAATGACTTTAGATCAAATAACAGTAGCGACCAATAATGAAATACAAGTGATAACGAACGAACTAGCGTATCAAGAGAACAATGTATTGGTACCCTCTAAAATGCACCCCGAATTTATATTTTCACATTTAAAAAGTGTTATCGGTTTTATTGGGTATAATTTTAGCAATTTCATTTCATGTTGCCAAAAAATTCAAAAAAGAATCAACTCTCAGCTACTTTACAGTTCTAGTAATATTAAATATAGCAAACCTTCTCAAGATTAATTATATAGCTCACTCAATATTCATTTAATATGTTAAAACTGTTGTTATTTACAAGTGAAGAAGACTAGATACTTTTTCTTTGAATACAGTTCTTGGAAGAGTTGCAAAAGTTTTTACTTTCATAAAACTGGAAGTAGATTTATTTGTGCATGTGCTCCCAAGTACATATAAATATTTCTAAAACATTTTTTTACATAACTCAGTTTCTTATAAATAACATATCAATGGCTTAATGATAATGCAACGATATTTAAATCTTAAAGCAATCAAAAATTACTTTATAAAAGCATCTTCATGTAGTTTATATATACACTATTTCTAATCCATCAGTGAAGATCACTCATTTAAAATGAGATTTTACAGAAATTTTTAGCGACAAGCCCATAGTTTCAAGACAACAAAGCAGATTTATGGATGAAAACGGTGTCCCTATTCCAATATTGCCATATGCCAAAAGCGACGAAAACGAAACGAACGCCTGGAAACGAGGATAACGCATATAAGTAGAACGAATTGTGTAATTTTTATGCCGATTACCTTGAATAATGACTAAAAAATTTCCCTTAGGCAAATTAATTCTGCTAATTTTAAGATGTATTATTCATGAATGAATTAGTACAATAAAAAATCCTAAACAGAGCATTAAAACGATGTATTACAAAACCCGTCTGGTAATTTAGATCATCAACACTAATACTAAATACGTAACGAGATTAAAATTTTTATTCAATGCACTTTACAATCTATTCATACTTGGTAAAATAAGAGGGCCAACAAAATGCTTGTTAACTAATCAAGAATTCTACAGAATTGATATTTGCTGCCTTCTTTATGAATAAATGGATGTCATGAGATATAATATGAGAAAAACAGTATAAACATTCATAAGCATAAATGTAAGTGTACAGCATTTATGAAAAATGCTATCAACAAGCTTGAATGTATAAATGCAGGTAAGTATACAAGAATATAATTATACCTGCAAGTACTAAAACACATACAGATATAACTACTTAGCAATTTCCGAACTTTCACAAACTCCAGTTCTCAACCTTGTGAATAGAGAAGACAAGCTACACCTTGTTCCCGTGTTAATGATATGAATAAAACTTACAAAATCAGTTATTTATACAATGTATGTCTCCGTTCCTCTTCTTCAGCAGCTAATTTTGCTAATTCTGCATGATCCAACTTCCGTTTTCTATTCGAGAGTTCTCTCATGAATTCATGGAATTCTCTATTATCTTTTACTGGATCTTCGATCGTCCATTTTTCAGTCTAAAATTCATTACTAAATAACTCATTTATCCTTTAATCGAATATGAAATTAATTTTATACGAAGACGTACATATCGATCTACCACACTAGGTAAACCATAATACCAGTAACAAAAAACTGGCATTCCAGATACAACCGCGAATAAAGATGCATAATATTTCCAACCGTACGCTGGCATTTAGCGAGCTGGATCACTGGCTTCAATATGTTCTCGAATTCGCAGTAAGTAAACCCCAAAACCTGTAACCGTTAACATAATTTGCCACTAACTCAATTACCCATGTAAAATATCTACTACCAATTTCGGTGAAACGCGTTCTAAATGGCACAAAAACATTGTATCCGTGATTTGATTCAGTAGATAAACCAGAAATAAACCCTTACAGCAAGCCCTGTCCGAAAATTGAAGGTACCTACGACAAACACATGCTAAAACTTTATCCATTAACTCATTTATCTTCTTCCTAATTGCAGCCAGTCTACGTTTTCAAAATCATTAATACTGTCCTTTTGTTAGTACTAAATTATCTTGAAATCACTTACTAATTTATGTACAAAAAATTAAAGCTCATGCCTTTGACTGCTGAAATGATTATGTAAATGAACGAATTCGACACGTGACTTTTAAAATGTAAATGACAGTATAACCACAAAAAATTCATCATAAAAAAATATTAACAAATCTAAAGAGTAAAATTTTTAGAACACGTAAAAGAAATACCGTTAAAACAATAACCATATTAAGGATTAACTTTAAAAATTAGCAAGATTATAAATAAATTTGACTGAATACATAAGGTAATATGAACAAATTCCATTTACAAAAGAAACAACTTTAAAATATAACAGTAAGAGATCGTCCACGCAGTGCAATAGATCGAAGAGAGATACAAAATCTCTAGAATTCACCTATAACACTTTAAATTTCAAAAGAGGTAAATTTTTGTTTTAGCTGCAAGTTAGTAAAACCACTACATTACTATTCACATTTCCTGAAGTATTCATGACTTGAATTTAAGCATGATCCTCTTGATCACTATCACTAAACAACCAATCGTCATCAATTCCGTTCATACCTGAAATTAATAGTTTGTCACAAAACTATTGATTTTAAAAGTACTTTTATCTTTGTCCTTCCCGTAGAAAATTCCTTACTGTGAACAAAAGCAAACCTTCAAACAATCGGTTGAAACAATTTGATTCACTTATATTAAAATGAACGTATGGATCGTTCTTGTTCAATATACTACGGCAAAGCCAACAGAAGCTTTGGCCACATTTAGCGCATGTTATTTTATTACAACCATCTTTCTTCTACAAAAAAAGTTTGGTTACTAATAATATGCAAAGCATTAACAAACACTTCTACGATATCGATAAAAATAAACTTATTTTGAAACTGGATTTTCTATAAGATATGTTCTAACTTCTATATTAGCATGACAAGATGGACAGGATTTGCTATTGTCTTCTATCCATTCCTCACTTTTAAGTGAATCTATCATTTTTTGCATTTGCTTCTTACCACCAAATCTTTTAGCAATTTCATTAAGCTGAGCAGGTGTAGCAGATTTCAGCTCATTCAATAATTCACCACGTGTACCTAGAAATCAGAACACTATTAATCCATACGTTGTATCATTTCGATCATAAGAAATCTTAAAGTGAGCAATAATAAACATAGTTCTATGTGCAATCACTTTATCTATAAATTGGTAAGAGACAAAATATAAGATTGCTTACCTTTGTTGATATGGCAAGGATCTAAACCATGATATGCCTTCTTGCACAAAATACAAAAGGAAAAATAACAAATGGAACAAGTGGCTAAACTGAAATAAAAAGGTTAAATAACTGCATAAAGTTTACCTGTAGAATAAATTCCAAGTTATGCATTATTCAAAAAATGGTTCTGAACAAATTATGTCCAGCAAACATAAAAGAATATCCAACAAAATGCAAAACCAAAAATAAATTACTCTATACTTCAATAAAAGCAAATTAAGTAAAATTCTGATAGCTTTTTATAGAATTCACAGGGCATGACATACTTTGAAGTTCCAAGGCCATCAACGACAACGGGATTTTGACACCAAATCCTCGGACATCTGACAACATCCGACATCAAATCCAAAGCTGCTTCGAATAAACGCCGATCATAATTTTCGAACTCCTGATCCGTGAGAACTTCACGAATTTGTTTTTGTGTGGCGGGGCTATCACACTCATTACTTAAACATTTTAGATCCCGCATCTACAAAAACCGATATTTGATTTCCACAACAAAGTGTAATCTACATTTTTCTTAAAAACTTTATGCAAAGATATGATAGAAAAGAAACAACCTAAATATACATACCAATTTTAATATTTGTAATATTGTACCTGCGTAACTTGCAGCAAGTTACACAACTACATTATTACAAACGTTTAAAAGAAATTATTAGTTCAATGCAAACCATATTGTCCGCTAATTTCTGTCGGTAATAATTAGAAACACATCCCGAACAAAATATATGACCACAGGGATCAAATTTCAAGCACTCATTTCCCTTTTTATAGCTGAAGCATACCTAAAATCGACTTTTAAGCTATATGACAAAGGAAAGTCTTGAAGTGACCTTATATTTTATCAAATAAATACCTAATTATTCTTTGCCAAAAAGCTGCTAAGTTTACTTACTGCTGAGATCAATCTCAAATTCAAAAGACTTGATATCCTGAAATCAACAACGATTCATTGGATATCATTAATTACGAAAAATATGCGAAATTTCCTCAAATGAATCGAGGTGATTATGCATGAATTCGATCTTGATTTAGTGCTACCGAACAGAATAATGTATTATGAACACTGCAAGTAGAAAAGTTAAAAGATTACCTTACAATTAAACCACCGACTTTCAAAATCACTCTTCATGCCTAACTCGTTCTGCTCTGCAATCTCTCTCAATAAGTCCAATGGGTTTTTCTCGATCTGGAAATTAATAATTTAGTCAACACAAAACACAACAAAAAAATAGTACACGAAAGCTTACTGCATCCTCATTCTTCTCTTTCTCAATCAGCTCATTTAAGTTAATAACTTTTCGAGTCTGCAGTATTTTCAATATCTCCTCTTTCAGTAAATCTATCCACATAAACAAAATTGGCATGCCACAATAAGTTTCCCATGCATTAAGCAGGACTTTAGCTAAATGATTTTTCTGCAAATATTATCGTTAACAATATTGTTATGAACATGGGAACATTTAATGATTGAAGTGCATAAAGAGTTACGAAAATTTTCAATATTATGAAATTTTTGCTGAAAAAGATACTGCTGTCGAATCAAGCCAATAAATGTCCAGTGAAAATTGCGGCATACAAGTTGATGGATAATTCTGAGGTAAAGTGATGTGTAAGAATATTGGTGGAAGATAGAAAATATTAATATTTTGATCGTCTAAAACATCTTTGCTATAAAGATTCGAAACATTAAGCTATAAATCAAGAAACCATTTAAATGAAAATACAAAACAAAAAAATATTCCGATACAAGCTTGCATTAAAACATGGCTCCATACAGTGTAAAAGACTTTCTATTTACCGTACAGATTGCTCAGACAACATTTCGATTAACCTCTCACAAACCACACTAAAAGATAAAACCTCTACTTTCTGCTATTAAATTACTCTTCATTATCAAACATTTCATTAACTATCAATCAAAAAACAACAGACGAACGATAACAATAACAAACCAGCTGAGACGGTAAAGCCACAATCCTGTTTCGGTAAAATAACTTTGAAACTGCCTGAAATAGTAGAATCAGAACTTACATCGTATTTGAAAGATTCCATTTCAGTACAATACACGCTTTGCAAAGCCTCAATTTCATTTACCTGATCCTAAAAATGATGCTGCTGTTAGAAGTATAAATAAATACTTTTATCAGTTTCCTGATTAAAATAAAGGAATTTTTGTTAACATTTATAATATTTACGATACTACAAAGCAGTCTCTAACCTCACTATCAGTAATCTTTATGCCATCAGTAGCCATTATCTTGCACGTACGGATGCTGTTCAAGAACAGAAGAACAGTGAGAAGCGTTTATATGATAGGCGATTGAATACTCGTTATGTAGCAAGAAAGCCTTATAGAAGCAAATGTGATAATCTCCAATAAGATATATGCCCTAAAATAAACCCTCTTATACCAATTAATGGACAGACATAGGATGAATAATTAAACAAGACCATACCAACCATCACCAACCTGCTCCGTTACTGCTTAGCCAATTGATTTCATTTCCCTACAACAATGTTATGCTTCACTTATTATTGTAGTACGCACAATGATTATGCAACATCCCGTAGTTCTGTGATAATTTGATATGTTTACTCATATATGCTTCATTTTTCATTTCAGTACTTGAAATATGATTGAGTAAATAATCGAATTTCAAACAATATTTTTAAATAAGCAAAATAATTTATATTTATTTAAATTTTAAATTTTATATTAGATAGTTTTCATGCAACAATGATATTTATGACCACAGGAATTTTATCATACCACATCTTTTTTTTAAAATTATCTTTCAAAGTAATATGCATTTAATTTCTTACAGGCTATAGGAAAATTTATTAACTAAAATGATATCAAAACAATATGTTTAAAGTGCTTTTTATGGTCTATAGTTTGCTTGTCTAATCATTTTAAACAAAAAGTGGTCTTGAAGTGAGTCATAGAGTAATCTTATGAGCTAAATCTTTTATTTTTTTTTGTGAATATTAAATTAACATTGTTTTGGCTGAAGTTAGTGGAATAAAAAACAAGGAAAGAAGTTCACAACAAACATCTTCAAAAATAAATAATTTAAAGTTGTAGAAATTATTTAAAAAAAAAAAAAAAGTAACTGATCGAAAAGAATTTTGGTTACAATTTCAGGTAGTCTCGATGTTGTCAGCTATTCTTGGTTGAAGATTGAACTAAAATAAGTGATCAAAAATTTCTTGAAAGTACTTATAGTATAGAATGTTATACATTGTGATATATGCAGTAAAATGCAAAAACAGTGTTACTGGTTTTGATACAGTTTTAAAAAATCGTCTATATTTGCAAATTGCTTGGTATTATCAAGTAATCAATGATAATAGTGATAATTTGGACGAAAATTCGGTACCTTGTAAGATGGCATATTCAACTTTTATCACTCTTCAATCTATTGGTTAGCATTTACAATGTCATCATCAGATTTCGATTCAATTCCTTCATCAAGGTATATTTTTATTGCATCAAGTATTTACCTTGATATATGCAAATATTTTTTATTCAAAAGAGATGATAAAATCTAAGTGTTTCAGTTTTCATTTTCTTTTTTATGTGACATATGCTTTTTGCTAAATTTTTTTCTATCCTTTCTTGCATATTTTTAGTTGCTTTATAATTCTCTTTCAGTACTCAAAGATCAATTTTTTTTTAGTGAACATCAGGCACTTTATTCTAATGCAAAGCTTTATAATAGTATTCTCAAATAGTTTAATGCAGTGGTAAAAGCTTCTTCAAGTTTGTATCTTATTTCTTCGGACATATATATTGATCAGTGTCACGCATATGATAACACGATACTGGTAAGCAGCATTTTATTTTTTCGTCAAATATCATCTGACTTTTGCTCTCTGAATTTTGAGGTGCTCACGAGACCTGTCTTAACAATTGCAGTTTCTACCTGATTTTTTTCTTTTGATGATAAACTGCTATGCAACAGTTCGTAAAAATTACTTCAAAAAGTAAAGGAATTTTAGGAGTGCAAATAAAATTTATGCCTAGTTCGTGTTTGGTTTATTCCCATTACTTGTAAAAGTGATATTCTGTGCAAAAAAATGCAAACATTTGGATAAATAAGATGGTATTTTCTTGGTGTTTGTTTGTATTGCTCGGAGTACTTCTGGTTTATTTCAAAAAGTAAAGTGTTTCGATGTGTTATTTTAGTAGTTTTCTCTTAAAACAAAGTTAATTCTATGGTTATCCTCTTTAAGCTCCATACATATCTAAGTCTATCCTTGAAATTATATTCACCTCCTTTCTTAATTTCAAATCTTACTAAATTTTCCTTACAATACTAGTAATCTCGTTTCTCAATTCTTTGCTATTTTACTTTATACATTAATCATCCTAGCTTCTTTTCTTTTAAATTTACGATTGATTCCGCAACAAGTATGTATATTAGTAATAAATTTTTGCACAAAAAATTGGTAAATTTACATGAATTTGCTCAGAAAGCAAAGAATGAATTTTTTTTCAGCTGTTTGAAAATATTCACAAAGAAACAAAAGTCTGCAAATCTTAGCAGATATGAAATATCAGTCAAATGGCATACCAAATGCATCAAGACTTCCTAATAGCATAAAATTTATATTTGGTGGGGCTGCTGGGTAAGTTTTTCAACTGTTAAATTTATTTGTTTTTCATTTTAAGCCTACAGCGTGTGATGTTCAGAAATTCATTTTAAGCGTTATTAAATAGTGCAGTTAAATGGAGATTGCATGATTAAGCAACAAAAAAGCCATTTGTTGAAATTAGACGATTGTAATGAATTTTATGCGTTACAATTTTTAGGATGGGTGCTACATTGATTGTTCAACCTTTAGATCTGCTAAAAAATCGCATGCAATTAAGTGAACTAACGTCAAAAAAGTACCGTTCAAGTTTCCACGTTCTTAGGAGTATAGTTGCAAAGGAAGGGTTTTTTGCCATTTACGATGGTTTATCTGCAGGTCTTCTGCGTCAGGCTACATATACGACAACCCGTCTTGGTATATATACTTGGTTGTTTGAAAAGTTTTCAAAGTAAGTTTTTTATGATTGGATAAATAATGTCTATTTCATTTACCAAAACTCTTTTCCTAAATACAGTTTTTCATATTTCAGTTTGAATTTTTCTGTGGTATACAAATCATTCCTTGAGCAGTTATCATTGTATAATTGTTCTTATAAATGAATGCAGTAAAAGCTAAAGAGTGCCAAAAATAAAAGAGTTTAGTTCAGTTGATCAAAGTTCTAAATCTTTTGAACTAATTTATAGTGATGGGAAAAAGTCAAATTTTGGTACAAAAGCTGCAATTGGTCTAGCAGCTGGTGCAGCTGGGTCCTTTGTTGGTACTCCCGCAGATGTGGCACTTGTTCGAATGTGTGCAGATGGGCGGTATTTTTTTTCTGATTTGTTTCCTTATTTTTATTCACTTATTACTTACCAATTAATATATATTTACTTGTAGTGTTTATCAGAGCTATCACACATCATTCTCACATAAGCTTTCTGAATAATATTTGAATTGCTTAAGTACAGGATGTAGCAGGTACCAAGAAATGGTAAGATACAATTAGTTGCATAATTAAATCAGATATTTGTAAAAATGTTGAGATTATTACACTTAGAAACAACATAAGTATTGTTTTCATGAAAATTTCTTGAATATTTCATAAAATGTAAGCCAAGCTTTCAGACTTCCTCCACAGCAGCAGCATAAGTATAAAAACGTTTTTGATGCATTGGTACGTGTAGTTCGAGAAGAAGGATTTTTCAAACTCTGGAGAGTAAGCACACTTTATATACTGCATATATCTGTCAATCCCCTATCCTCATTTAGGAGATGTATAAAACATCACATATATTGTAATATTGTGCAGATTACTGTTTGTTTAGGGTTGTGGATTAACTGTTCTTCGTGCAATGGTAGTGAATTCAACGCAACTAGCAACCTACTCAGAAGCTAAAGAAGCTTTATTAACGACACAAATTTTTGGAGAAAATGTCATGTTACATTTTGTAGCCTCGATGATAAGTGGTCTTGCAACGACGGTGACTTCAATGCCAGTAGATATTGTGAAAACTAGGTTATTTGATACATTTTATCACTACAGCCTTAGTGTACTGCTCACTATTTAGATTTTTCATAGTAATGAGCTAATCAATTTTATGTGTGGTCAAAAGTTTCTGATTAGTGAAAATCATAAGTTTAGGTCGTGATTAAGTAAGACTAAGTTTAGGATAACTAAAAGTAATTTTCCAGAGTACAAAATATGCGCATAGTTGGTGAGATGTCAAAACATTATGGGACATTGGATGTTTTGTTCAAAGTAATACGTAATGAAGGATTTTTTTCGTTGTGGAAAGGTTTCACACCTTATTACTTTCGGTTGGGTCCACACACGGTATTAACATTTATTATACTGGAGCAGCTTAATGCTTTTTATTTTAATCACATATCAGAAGTAAAACAGACTCGAAGCATACTTTGATTGGTGTATTGAAGAGAATTCGTGTTAGTGGGTTCTGACTTTTTACAAAAATTTCATTTTTTATCATTGTAGTAACATTATTCCATTTTATTTAAACTGAAGTTAGCCTTTTGACAGAATTGAAATTTCAATCATGCTAAATCCCATATAATTAAATTACACAGATTCCTTTATATATTTAATCTTAAATTATTAAATAGTTCAAAGACTATCTATATCTTGTGAAGATTTTTAACGCAATTTTTTATTCGTTTTTATTAATGTTATTGTTAGTATAGTCATATTAATTATTAGTAGTGAAGTGCTTGAAAATTGAATGGGACATATGCATAGTATAAAACAATCGGCCCGCCCCATGAACACCTGTGAAGCTTTTAGCTGATTCTTTTACCAAAATTTTATAATTATTAGTGAAAGCATGGAAACATAAATTGTTGGACTTATTGTTTATCACAAAAAAATTGTACCTGTGATGTATATTGACAAAAGTTTACTGACAAAAAGTTCAGTAAAGAAGCCAAATGTTAATATTTTGACATCTTCGGGTTTCTTCTGGTGATAATTTTTCGATTTTTGATCTTATTTGTGTTCTCTACACTCATCTCATAGTATTTGTTACCTCTGTAATAATTTTTCATCATTTTGAAGTATATTTTACAAATGGCTATTAGTATATAAATGGTTACTCAAATACTCATAACTTGAGTATTATCGAAATCATATTCAATATTATTTCGCACTTATTAATTACCAGAGTAACAAACTTCACTCCGCTTACTGGTGATGTCCTTGTTTTTGCTCAAATCCCGCATTATTTTTCGGTACTAGCTTTTAAATATCAATGCTGAGAAATAGTAGCATGCGTTCCGTTCTTACTCTTTTACATTTTGGTGATATGATATACATGGATAAGTTTTATTCATGATCTCTATTTTTCTAATAAATGAAAACTATTTGTGACGTACAATGCAATATGAATACATTTTTATACACTGCTTCCTGTCTTTTGTATTATTCATCACTGTAACAGTTGCAATGCAAGTTGATTATTAGGTAATTGTCTCATGTTTCTGAAAATTTACAGGTGACATTGGCAAATTCTAAAGGGTTTGAGAGTTTCCTAACTGATGATTTGTTACGCTGAAAATGTAAGCGGCCACAGATTGAGGATCTATGAGGAAAGAGAAAACAATAGGTAGCATCGGTGATACCAACTGTGTTCCTAACTCGTAATCAAATGCATGGGATCCTTCAGATTCTGCGGTTGCAGTGAACTCGTGCCTATTACGAATTTGTAGTCATCTAAGCGATTGGTCCATGTACATTTCATGTGCTTAAATTTGACATATGTATGCAGGCACACAGTACTCTTTTTCAACAAATCTTTATAATCATGAAGTCAAAGTTTAACAATTGGAAGATATCAAGTCACTGACATGAATAATTTAACAAGAATATAAAGACAACCTCGCTTACAAATAAAACAAAATACTACTTTGTGAAGGAATCTTTGACGAATGTATCAGAACTATAAGCAAGAAAGACAATTTAAGAGCGGAAAAAAGTATCAAAGGACCCAAATATGAAATGTTAGACTTACAGAATGTGGGATTTATGTTAAATGAATGTAGCAAAAAGTATTACACGCCAAAAACAAGGTGATGCATACAATAAAGCCAGAAAGAATACCAGTCTCATTAGCATATAAGTTGACTGGAACACAATTAAAAGTACAAAAGTAGGACATACAATATGTTACAGCAAAACCAAAATGAGTACATTAATCCCAAATAGCTAACATAATTAGCGAAACACTACAGAAAGTAAAGAATATATAATTCTAAAAACAATTAAGATTAAGAATTGACACAGGAATAAGATTAATGTACAGAACAGTGCCCATTTCGAAAAGGCCATTTGGTAAGATCATAAACATATTTAAGAATGAAATCAGTTTTGCACCAACAAAATTCGATGTTAAAATAAATTCATTACCACAAAATATTTTGCAAGGCAACGTGTCACAGAAAAATCATTCTTCATTTTCCACGCTGATCGCATATCGCCACAAATAGAACATACCATGATTCTACCTATTGAACGAATCCCGCTATCGTTTTTCCATAACATGATATGCGTGACGGTAATAAGAAAACCATTTGGCTATATGTAGAAATATCCAATTCTCACGTGTTCAATGCCGGTATCACGGATATTTTTCTATGAATTGCAATTTGTTTCATCCTCTAGTTTAATACTGATGTCATTTTGCAGCAAATACTTCAGAAGTAGCAAAGAAATGTATGAAATTCACTTGCTTCTTGGTAATACTGGATAACAGATGGTACTGATAGTATTGCAACTTTGTGTAACATGAAACTGCGTACATATCGTTGCTATCCGTTAACTAGCTTCAGCCGTTTCGAGACGTTTACGAGTATTGGTCGTAAAGAAATATAAATTTTCTCAGATATTTAGGAAAAACTGTTCAAATTCACATCCACTATATTTCCTTATCCTTTCAAAATCGTGTCGTGTGCATAAGCATCATAAATTAGATATCTGCTATCTTACGCGCCATTCAATCAAAGTTTATCGTCAATTGCTGAACGGCACTACACAGATGAATCAATCCATGTTCTCAATTTCACAAGATATATAAGAACATGGATAATACTGAGCAATTTTGGTCTTTCTGCAAAACTATCAAGCATCTATTGAATTTTGATAATTCTTCAGATACCAAGTCATAACTCATGATGACAAGGAGAGAGTCAGTAACAAGTAATTTTGGTAATCGATCTTCACAAGAAATGAAGTTTGACGTGTAAAACTAATTCGTATATCAGCTTCCATCTTGAAACTTCTATTCTTCAATCCAATTTCAGGAGTTGTTTAATTTAATCCTTTAGCTGCATGGTATAGAATTCTGAGAATGCTAGCGAGTGGTTTCGAGCAATTTGGCAAATAAGTCTTCCACTCGCAAGTTGTTCAAGTATTTCTTTGCCTGCTTCCTCAATCTTCAAAATCGAGCCTAGAGGAAGTATAAAATGCCTCACCGGTCAGCTTCAGCCAACGACCGGGAGTAGTATTTCACGACAAAATTAATCCTTTAAAGTTGATCAAAGCATCTCTCCTCTTTTTTCTTCTATGAACCACCGATCGTTTTTCCTTTCGCAAGTGCATTGATCGATGGCTTTTCCACTTTATTTCAATTAAAATAATCCATGGTCATTCGCAGAGCAAAAAATAGTTAATTTCCAGAGTGAGAGTCTGCTTCCAGTGATGAATTTCGCATTCCCAGCATTAGAGTTTGACCGCAACAGATACCTTAATTCTCAACAACTTGAGAAATATATAATCTGTGCAGCCGTAAAAAGTGGAGAGTCTGGGAATCTCATACCCCTTTTTCTGAAAAGGAGGAAGCCGATATCCTTCTCCTGAAAAGGAGAAGGCCGAGGTTCTTCTAGAATCATGAGGAGTAGGCCGAGATCCTTCTCCTAGAATTCTGAAAAGGACAAGGACGTGGTCCTCTTCGCTAAATCTTGAAAAAGAAGCTGCTGTGTGTTGTCGTCGCTAATGTCGAGCTCCTCCTTCTGAAGAGGATGCTGGAGTTCTCAAGGACGATGCTACGGCCCCCGTCCTCTGAGCAAAGGCCTTGGATTGGCCCTTATAGTTGCCGGACATTGTCCATAATCTCCCATATAATTATGGGAACGGAAAATAATTGCAGTCGATATCAAGCAGGAGACAAACAACAGTGACCCTAATTCAAGACTCATGTTGTCAAATGATTCCTGACAGCTGAATAATCTCCATCATGTACCATCCGATGTCCAGCAAAGCCCAATCTGAAACAGCTCCTTACTTGTATTCTTTAGACATTCATACACGCTATAAAAATCGCGGATACCGTCAGAAGTATGTACAATACTTCTGTACAATAGCATATAATACGCGTGAAATGGTGATATCAGCACTTAATAACACAAATGAGTTTGATGCAACAGAAATTGAGAAGTAGCAAAATTGCTGTAATTCAAGTCATACGTGCTATAAAACAGTGACGCTGGAGTAATGGGCAACAGAGAGAAGTGGTTAAGTCAGTTATTAGATGAAACACGTGCAAAATTTTGCTTCAGCGTGAAATTATAATACTTCTTATGAAAAATTAAGATTACAAAAGTTATATAAGGAACTCAGTACACCAATTGCCAAGGCAATACTAGCAATCAACTATGTGTCTAATAGATTTAATGGATTAAGATACCAATATCGACGAATTTGATCAGAGATGAATAAAAATTCAAAACACTGAAAAACGATTGTAAATAAAACAAACAGTGAGAATTTTTCTAGTTAAAATGCAAATGTATGAGTTAAAAGCAATAAGATGAGAAATAACATTATTTATCTGCCTATATATATATATACATATCAATCAATCAATATCACACGGAAGTTATTCTTTTTTTCATCATTGATATTAATTTATATACACAAATACATAAATATATGTATTTATTTATATATATAAAGTAGCAAGGGATAAGATGTACTTTTATTGTTCAGCTTAGCTCACAAACAGAGCGGTTTGGTGCAATCAAACACTTGGTCGACTAACACGAACTGAGCGGTCTAGAATTTAATGACAAAAGCCATGGGCGACTTTGCACTCAAGCTTGAACCCAGTGAACGAATAACTTACGTAGGGAAAAAACTTGGAGAGGAACCCTGTCCAACAACTCTCAAAATTACCAACCCGACATCGGTTGCCTCACTTTTCCAACCACTTCACTGTTTTCTTTTTTTGCACTGCCCTTTCAAGACCTCTACTTACTTGATATCACTGAGCCCTCTCTTAATCGCTTCCTTAGAATTCTCGTGCGCAATATTGTTAGATCTTGTACTTATTTCAAAATTCCAGATATATTTTCCTGTCTATTTTTTAAGATTATTCAAAACATTTTTCAGTAGTCATTCATCAATTTTGGATCATATTTTTATATTTCACTTTTTAAGTTAATCAGTCGTTTACAGTGCTAACAAATATGATAGATTAAAAATGTTTTTAGGATAGACAGGCCTGTAAGGTAAAATGCACCTCAAACGAAATGTTTCGAATCCGTCCTCCTGTCTTTGCTTTAAAGCCCGGTGAAGAGATGACCGTAAAGGTTACTCCATCCTTATTACTTAGACTTATTGATGCAAATTATTCCTCTTTTCCTTACTGCTACATACAGCACTTCTTCTCACCTCCAAATAACTTATTCTCACTGCATTGCATAACGTTTCAGTTAACTTTTAATGCGGGGAAGACAGTCCCCGACAGTGGCAAGCACTATTTCGCTGTATATTACATAAAGGCAACTGATGAGAACAAGGCACCGCGGGCATGCTGGGCTGACCACAAAGGAGATCCAAATGGAACAAAAAGGTCTATCTATCTGTTTACCCTCCTACAACTTCTACAACCTAGAAATCTGCTCATACATTCATGTTTTTCTGAAATTATACACTGAATCATCATGGAATGCTTATGTTGAAAATTTTTCATAGAAACTGCACACTTTTAACGATTTCTGCTTTTGTAATATTTCAAAAACTAGCCCATTTTCAGAAACAAAAGTAGTGCACGAAATATTTGCAAAATACTACTTCAAATTTATTATTAATTTGATAAGACAAAAATTAGTAAGTGTAATAAGTATTGTAGATTGTACGTAGATTTTAAAAAAGAAGATGGTGAGGATAAAAAAGAGGAAGTGGAGAAAAAGGATGACGAAAAGAAAGAGGGCGAAGATAAAAAGGATGATAAGAAAGAGGGGGGTGAGGAGAAAAAAGATGACGAGAAGAAAGATGAAAAGGGAGAGGAAAAGAAGGACGAGAAAAAAGATGACGAAAAGGTTGGCCGATTTGGTTGGTTGGTTGATAGAGCAAAGTGAGGAGCTGTAGTATACAGTAGATTTAAAAGGATAGAGAGTTAAGATAATATTGATTTCAATATTTCGCAGTAAACTAAACTAAATGGTTGAGGAGTAGACAAAAAGTAATAAGAAACAAAAACAAAATAGAATAAATAATTGTCATTTCATGTTTTCTATTTGTAATTAACTCAAGCTTAATAGAAAGAAATAAAACCACTAAGTGAATTAAAATGGAGAATAAAATGAAATTAGTGCTAAAATGAATATTGAGTGAAGTGAAAAAAGGAGGCGAAATCGATATGCAAATGTGATCATTTCGAATTAGAAGTATGCAAATTTTAGAAAGAGGATAAAAAGGATGAGGAGAAGAAGGACGATGAGAAGGAAGATAAGAAGGAAGATGAGAAGAAAGAAGATAAAAAATGAGCAAAACAGGAACAAGCATAATAAAACTGAGCCTACAAAAATATCCCTACTTTTATCTTATTTTAATATGAACTAGTATTACTGGCCTTATTAATAATAATACTAGCAGCGTACACACTGATTGTTTGTTATTCAAGCAAAATTATGAATAAGATAAATGATAAACACAAACACACCAAGATAAAAACTAACTGCAACTTTTTCTCATTATTATGCTGCTATTGTGTGAAGACAAACATGACTATGCATCAAACATACGCTATAAATTAATAATAATAATAATAGTAATAATAGTAATAATAATAATGAAGAAAAGTGTGCAGTCCTTTTTTATAAACATCACTTGGCTAACATCTTAACATGTACATTCATTACATTTAGACGAAAAGCATTACTTAAATTAGTTTAATTATATAATATATTACATATGCAGTCTTTCCTAAATTCGTATTACCACTTTTTAACATCAATGCCTACTTTATCAACAAATAAAGTGAACATTTACAAGTCTTGCAAGTAAATAATATGTATTAGAATCCGATTCATAAGACAATTGCCACATCCCACCGCTCAATGCACAACATGAAAAACTGTGCCTTATCTGCATATAACACTTGACTCCCAAGCAAACAAACGATAACATGATTACACGACAAAATTTGCATATTGATGATTTAACAGCGCGTGCAATAAACAATAAACGTGGACGGACATCTTGAAAATGGAACAGCTCATGACTTTTTTTCATTAGTTTATATAGTTCAAATATCTTCTGATAGCATATTGGATGTATTCAAGTCCACATTAGAATATCTTATCGGAGCACACAGATAAGAGAATGATATTAGGTAAAAAAAAATGTAAACTTTTTCGCACAGTTCACTGGAAGTACATATTTCGTGCAGTCAGATAGATGTACAGTAATAAAATAAATACAAATACATTGTTTCATAGGTTAAAAAAATTCTAAGAAGTTACATAAACAAAATAAATAATAAATAAAATGCGGAGGTTAGTTTTAATTTTCGCTTAATTGGTTCTGGCGCTGAATTGCTTTCCGGCACTCTAGCAGTATTTGTCCCGCACTCAGATTTGTTGTAGTCATCGTTCTCGCTTCGTCCTCGTGGAATCCATATCGACTGTCGAAGGAGATGCTTTCCACCGTCTTCTTGAAAACTATCGATTGGATGTATGCCTTGACATGGTCTGGTATATTAATCTCCTCCGCATAGCGTCTGTAGAAATTCGTTACAATCCCATTCCAAGCTATCACATACGGAATTATCTTGGTCCTGCATTTTATCTCTGGCACAAGCTTTTTAGCAAGTAGGTCATATTTTCGCTTTTTACCTGTCCCTGACTAGTGATGTCAACCTCAATCAGGATTACTTCACATTCGCTTCTTATCGTGTATCATGATATCCGGTCGACAGCTTTTATTCTGATTGCAGTTCTCACTCGCTATCGTCTCTGATCTCAGCATTCTCATTCGCGAGGACCTCATGAACAGAATGGCTTCGCAAGCGCAGGAATGCTTTCAGAGCATACTTCTTGCAGTGTCTCAAATGGATGCATCGCAGGACCTCATTGTGTCTTTTAGTATAGTCGTGATGTCACATTTCTTCGCACTGCACTGCACTGCTAGATGGCCCACCGTCTTCACACGTTCCCCACAACGTTGGCACATACCTTTCTCACTTCCAAACATATTTCTATCTTGGAGATAACAGTATCGTACCTCATCTTGCGAGGTAATGTTTCCGTATCGCAGCCATTTTGATGAATCAACTACGAACGAGATTTTATTCGTCCGCATCTTGTGTAGCTTAGCATGGTAGGTTTTCTTTTCTATTTCGCTATACAAGAACACCTTTTGGACTGCTAATACGTTTTCATCGGTAGAATTTTCTGCGAAGTTCTGCTTAGTCTTTAGAATAGGGTACGATAATTGCCAAGTACGTGTTATGAGCTTTCTCCTGCTTCAGAATCGCTACCCTTCTGGTACAAACGGGTGTGGTATCTACAAGAACATTAAGTAGCTGGAGAAGCATAAGCTCACTCTTCTGCTCAAATTATAAAGTCCACGTCCTAGCTTGTCCCTTGACAGGTGCAGTCTTTCCAAGCATGCAGGTTGCTTGTGAATTCCGTACTAGATTAGTAACTGTCTGATATCGTGGTCTATAATCTTGAAAATTTTCAGCTTCAGCTTGAGCATTTCGACGTAATAATTTATTAGGCGTATGGCGTGCTCATTCACAGCTTTGATAAAGTTCTTATCATTTAGAGCAGTTTTGGCTAGCCGCTCAATTCTCACTAAAATCTCTGCCCGGATTTTGTCGTAGCTTTCACGTGCAGGTGCACTAATCCTGTCTTCTACTATTCCAAGGTATTTGTACCCTTGAGTTCCTTCCAATAGCGCCGCTTCATCAGCGCATACCTCGGTATTAGTGGCTGACTTTGCTGAATTTACTTC